ATACTTTCCTAATTTATAATCATTGACTAATTATTGCCTAATTTACAGCTATTCAATTTTGAAATCATTGCCCAATTTACAGCTATTCAATCTTGGTAATTACTGCCACATATCTTTCTGATTTTTCAACAAAGATACTTGGAGCTGGCTGACAAATAGAACATGCAGCAACCCAATGAGCTGACTACATACTAATACTATGCTGTGTGGACTATAATCATCAACTAGTACAAAAGAGGTCTATAAATCGACCCCAAGTTGTATATTGGTTGATGACAGGATAAAGATTTACAACATAAAAATTGACTGCTGGAAACTAGTTTAATCCTTTACTTACCCTTTCCCTTTCACTATTTAAGGTAATTAGCACACTTGGATCTCTTTTACCAATAATGAGTATGTATGTCAAAATCTCTCAAAGCAACACCTATCAAGAGGAGGGATACAAGGAAGAACCAGTTCCTTTCAATTCTTTCCCACAAAGATAGTTTTGTATTAACTAGGAAGCACGGATACGGATATGGGTACGACACGATATGAATACGATAATATAACAAAATCTCAAAATGTAGGATACGGGTAGGAGCCTAGGATACTCCTATATATAAAAATATATATGTATGTATGTATGTATAATATTAGAATATTATTACAACACTAGGGATATGAGGGATTAAGAGATAAAACACATTCAAATCAAAATAATTTATGTTACTGACATAAGACTGCTTAATGGTGTTTTAAATTCATGATTCTATATAATTATAAAGCTGAAGACGTATCATCCTTCAAGAGTCTATCAACTTTTATATAGCATTTAATTGGAATATACTTCATTGGCTTTAACATAAGCAGTCATAAAAACTCATTATTCAAGCCAACAAAATTGTAAAAAATTGACGAATCTTGTGATATATGTGATGCACGTCCAAATGAGCATCTTGGAATGGGGAATCTCCATTTGTATGATTCACAATTTCTAAACAACCTACCCCACTAAGTATAAGTCAAATGTATTCAATGTAGAGATAAGCGTATCCAATAAGTATCCAACAATGATAAATATTTTATTATTTATTAGATACGTGTGAAAAATATCTAATATGTATTTGCAAGTATCCGATGAGTATCAATATTCAATACATATCGGATACTGATATCACTTCGATCTAAGTTTCAGTGCTTTATAGTGTTTTAGTCGGTCATTGATAGGTATATAACTTCCGCCATTTCTGACAAAAATGACAACTATTACTATTTATTAACTTTTTTAATTTTTTTTTCCTTTGAATTTTTTTTTTTGGTGTTTTTGTGTTCTTTTTTTGGGGGAGGGGGTGAGGTTGATGAAAGTTGTGAGATTTCTTATTTTATATATTAGACATAAGTTAGTTTGGGTAGGATAATATTGTAATTAATCTAATATTACACAGTTATAAATAAGAGTGTAGGGCAACCTAAAATTACACACCAAATTATTCTTATTCTTTCTCTTCATTATCTTTTCTTCTTCTTCATAAACCTTAGTATCAAATTCACTAATTTGACTTGGTATCAGAGCATTTATTATAGTCATTCCCTATTTTTTCTTTCCTTTTTTTTTCTTCTTTACACTGTTCACCGTGGTTATGCTCGTGACAATATTGTTCACAATGACACTGTTCATCACAGTACAGTGATACTATTCATTGCTGGTTACTGTTCATTGTGGAACTTTGACTAGTTGTGTGAGGTTTTTTGGATCCAAAATCATGTCTTGAGAAGTTATTATGGCCGATTATTCAATGCCTTTGGTTTTGATTGTTGTTCTTCGTCAATGAGATGACGATTATTTCATGAGCATAGTCCTTGTTTTGCATTATTCTTGATGATTGGGTTGCAGTTTGGCAGAAAATAATGGTTTGACTAAAACTATAGAATGTGTTTGTGATTGACCCATCTATTTTTTGGGTGATTTTTGCCTCAAGAACTAGTTGACAGTGATTTTTTTTTGGGCTTTTGGTCATCCTTCCGACACCAAATTTTTTTTTTTTGTTCGTTATACACTCTTATTCTAATTTTGTCTCTTTGCATCAACTTACCTTTTCATTTCACTATTTTGCATCCACCTTGTCTTCTATCCTTGTTTCTAGATCTTTAAAACATAACATTTCCTGAATGAAAACTGGCTAAGAATGAAAAAATTAAGGCACTCCATGAAAATCATACTTAGGACCTTACTTCCCTTCCATCTGAAAAACAACCTGTTAGTTATCGTTGGGTCTACAACGTGAAATATCATCTTGATGGTTCTGTTGAACGGTTAAAGGCATGGTTGGTTGCTAAAGGGTACACTCAAACTTATGGTGTGAATTACTATGAAACCTTCTCCCCTGTTGCTAGTCTTAACACTGTTAGAGTTCGTATTCATGTTGCAGTCAATTCTAAATGGCCCTGTATCAACTAGACATAAAGAATGCAGATTCAAAGCTGGTATTAAAGATTACAAATTGACTTATTATACTCTTGGGTATGACACCAAAAAAACTGATATCTTAGCAACATTATGAGTGTCTCCTCAACCTAGAGTTCCACTTGAAGAAGCAAGGGCTGCAGGAGCTGCTAAATCTTCTACTGGTACATGGACAATATATGACTCAACATCCAGGTTATGTGATTTTAGGCCAAAGGCAATTAGTGTGTCAATTGAAAAAGGCATTGTATGGCTTGAAACAATCACCACGTGTTTGGTTGGATAAGTTGTAATACTTCAATTTGGTTTTCAGCGCTCTACCTCAAATCATTCAATTTCCACTCGTCGGTCTTTTGCAGACATTACTATTGTTATTGTATATGTCAATGACATATCATCAATGGGAATGATTTAGATAGTATTGCTTACTTTAAAGCCAATTTGAGGAAGCAGTTTCATGCCAAAGACTTAGATCTTTTTCGGAACTTCCTAGGGATTGAAGTTACCCGCTCAAAGGAGGATATCAGTTTGTGCCAACGAAAGTATGTACTAGACTTATTATCTGAAACTGATACTCTTGGTGCACGTTCGATTAATACGCTTATGGACCCTACGGTTAAGCTAGATCCTGAGAGTGGAAAAATCTTTGATGATAAAGGGTGTTATCGACGATTAGTTGGTAAACTGATTTATTTCACAATTATAGCCCTGATATCTCATATGTCGTTAGTATGGTTAGTCAGTACATGCATCTCCCTCGTAAGCTTCAGAAGCTGTTTGTTGTATACTTCGATATCCAAAAGGGGTGCTGGGAAAGAGTTTATTATATTGTTCATCATCATCCATAACTGTTGTTAATTTTTTTGACGGTGATTGGGTAGGTAATCGGTGAGAGATGATCTATGCCTGGGTATTTGCACATTTGTGGGTGGTATTCTTGTTACTTGGCGTAGCAAAAAGTAGAATGTAGTCGCGCGTTCTAGTGTAGAGGTTTAGTATCGTGCTATGGCACATATTGCCTGTGAGATGATATGGGTCCGTTCTTTACTCCGCGAGATGAGACTTGATGTGTCTTCCCTTATGAAGATGAACTATGACAATCAAACAGATATTTTCATTGCAAGTAATCCGATATTTCATGAGCGTACCAAACACATTGAGGTAAATTGTCATTTTATTCGAGATCTCTTGATGCAAAACAGAAATCATCACTCCATATATCAAGTCTGGTGATCATCTGAGTGATATTCTTACTAAATCGTTGGCTCAATCTGCCTATAGTACTTTATGTTCCAAGAAGGACATTTTTTATATGTATACTCCAATTTGAGGGGGAGAACCTAAACCTACACACCAGATTATTCTTATTCTTTCTCCTCACTCTTTTCTCTTATTTTCTTCTTCTTCATAAACCCTAATATCAAATTCACTAATTTGACTGAAGTGGAGCCAAGAAGATAGCCTAAAAATTCATTGGGGTGTTATGTACAAATGACCTCATAACATGCAACAATTTTCTTAACTTCTATCGATGATCCCAGTCTATCTGTTGTATAACTCTGCTGTAGGCAACAAGTTGAGCTGCATCCTATTAATGTTAAAACAAAAGACCAAAAAAATATAAGAGCAAAGATATATAAACATATAGTCTTACCTCTCTCACCAAAGATTCTAAACGATCAATTCTGAACACACCATCCTAATGAAAAGGTTTAGAAAATATCAATAGAAAAGTACAAGAACAGATCTTTCTCAGAGATGACTAGAGTTTTGCTGTCTACGTAAATCCATAATGTATTAAAAAGGGAAAATTTGGAGTGCACCTTGTATAGAAGGTCTTGCAAAGAAGATTTCAGTTTTGGTGAGCTGTCAGTCAGAACTTTTCTGGCTATCCATGGGTATGTACTGCCCAAAACTTTGTAATCCGGATTAAAGCTGATTGCAATTCCCTCCAAAACTGCGAGGCTGGAAATGTGCCAGAAGACAAATTTAAAGTCTTGAAAAAATCATATCATCAAGAATTGTGAGAAGAAGAAAAAACCCAAGACCATAAAACAAATCTGGTAATCTGAAACAGCTCAGACTTCGGTTTTAAACTACACAGAGCAGTATCTCTAATACTATATCTGTATCTGGAGTTCCTTTTCTATAAAAAGAAATCTATTAATATATCTGCAGAAGAACATGATTATGACTACCTCCGGATTACAAGAGAAAAATATGAAGGTATTCGAAATTTGAATTGATACCTGCAAATGGAAGAAACATTATAATTTAGAAGCAGAAAACAATAAAAACAGAAGTTCAGTAGCAGCAAGAGGGAACTCAAATGCCAAACAGTGCTTATTTTGTTAGAGATGAACAACTCTACTTTGAATTATTAAACTTCTCTCCATATACTTTGTAGAGGATAACTTTAGATAACCAAGCCAGTCGAGGAATTGTGTCCTAGACAATCAGGCACGAAGTTCTCAGGTGCAGGTACTATGCATCTTCATAGATGTCTATTTCACCAGGCCTCTCTCCGAGAAGTGCCTCGATTGTTACACCTTTCATGCAGATCAGAACTTTAAATCATTCTGAATGAAGGTAATTGGTTGTGGAGAAAACAGACTTCCCATACAACAATAGCAAACAGACACGTGTAAAACATTTGTCGTACCTTGTGTATTATTTCTACTAATCTTCTTTCTTTTATTTGTTGACGATCAGTCATCTTATTAATACATTTTCCATTCTCAGTTAAGAAAAATCCATAACATAGGAAGACAATTTACTGCCGAATATCCTATCCGACCATAACACTAATGTAATGTCCATGTAATTGATGTAAGTCTGATAATAAAGGAATTCAGTGGAAGATTTTATGAGCACCGAGCTATTAAAATTATTGGCATCTTTATAGTAGCCAATCAAAATGCAATGGTACATATGACTAGAAATTGGCTTCCAGTCCCCACCCAGGAAAGGGCATGTAGCACTAAGTCTTGCACAGCTGCATTAGGTTGTAAAATTTTCTATTAAAAAATGAAGTATAGAGTCATACCAACTCAAATTATGTGATCAACTAATGAAGTATACCCGGATTAAATAATGCCCAAACAATTGCCAATTTGGATTAATCTTTTGTTTGATCGAAAAAAGTTCACTTTTAGCTACAACTAACCTATTGCATAAGCTCATGTCTAAACAATATCCTCAAGCCAGCATCCCACAGTGAGTATGTTTAGCTTTTCACCCCTCTTCAAAGTTCATTGATAGATCATAGGTCTTAAATTGTAACTACCTTCTTCTACACCTCATACCAATTTCATGTGTCAAAAAACCACCTTGGTATCCTCCCAATGATAGCGTAGACATAACTTTTCCTTTATCCCTCATTTAATTCATTTGTTCTTGTTATTTTGTCTTCTTGCTTCATATGAAATCTCCAGTGTGTTGCTCCTTTCTACTATTTAATTATAACATCATTTTTATTTTCTTTTTTTGGGTTTTTTTTTTTTGGCCCCGGGGGGTGTTGAAGGAGTGATTTGGTTTTTAATTGTGCTCCTCTTTTATAAATATGTCTTTCTAATTTCAAAGGTAAAAAGAAATATGTATTGTACCTATTAAAAACCTTAGATAGCCTCTCTTATAAATCATTAAACATCTAACCAGACTTGAGAAGAAATTGAATTACTTTGGCAGAACCAACAAACAAACATCCACAGAAGCAATTTGCACACAAATTCTACAATGCACAATGATTTGCAATCACTAGCAAAGGTTTTCGAACACTTTACATGGTAGTCCCTAAATTTCCTAGAAGATCTCCAAAACTTATATTCTGGACTCCTTTGGCAACAGCATTTCGGAAAACACCTATACACAGGAAATGCCTTTATCAGTCATAACAGAGATAATATAGGTGTCAAATCCCCCCGTGAAGGTTCAAAAACAAAAATTTTATTCAATGCAACTTCCTGATATAAGAATTGAAACTATTAGAACCCATGCGTTCATGTAAACATAGAAATCAAAACCTGTTAATGCTTTTGTGACAGCAAGCTTGTCTGCCGTTGGTGGAAGAAGCCTACAGAGTATGTAAGTTAAACTGCCTTCACAAGTACTATGAACTCTTAAAAAGTTTCTTCAGCAATTGAAGGGGAAGATAAATATGGTACCCGAGAGTTACAAAGTCTGTGGCCAATGCATCATAATCACGATTTACAAGATGGAGACAAGCTTCAATGAAACCATCACGAAGTTCTTGTTTGAATTCACCCATCATACCAAAATCTGGGGGTTAAAAAATTGTATCCTACTGGTTATATGACAAACTTGTAAATGAAAAAACAGAACTGAGAGAATAAGGGGGTTTTGTGGAATTAACCCATTCATGAAAACTTAACTTTAAAGAATACCTAAGTAGGCTAGTTTCCCATCATATGTACGAAAAAGGTTTCCGGGGTGTGGATCTGCATGATAGAACCCACATTCTAAAAGTTGATTGAACGAGCAGTAAACCCCTACCTGTAGAGTTCCAGGAAACAAATGTATGCTTTCAGCCAGTGGTGCAGCACAATGTAACTTACATAAGGAAAATTTGCCTTAGTGCAAACAACAGAACTGCAACTGGTATGACGATTTGACCTCAATCAAATAAAGATCCTTCACTTCAGACAGCTTTTGCCCCTAGGCACCACAAAGTTGAAAAATAAAATGAGAAAGAAAGATAAAGTCTAGAGGCAATTGAATGTTTCAACTAGCATTTATTGCAACAACCAATATTGGCATGCCACATTGTGTATGACTGTTTGGTTTCCATATACTGACAATGGTAAAAATGGACAAAGGACAATGTTGTGATATTTGCATGCAGAAAGCTAAAAGATGCCTACTGGTGTAAGGGTACTACCAGCAATGTATGATTGTAGGATGATATAGCAATGAAGTATGCAAAATTTCGGGGCGGGATGTTGAGTAACATCTCCTATGGTATTGCTTGGGATGTTAATATTTTCTAGTACAACTTCTCTTGCAACTTGCGAGACCCCTAGCCAGAAGATCAGAGGGTTGTACTTATGCAGGATAAGCACCCAATTGTTGACAATACTTAACATGAAATCAAGGTAGAAATATAGTACGTGGGAGTGCGATCTTCAGAATACCTTCTCTTCCAAACTAGAAGGTTATTTTTTCATAACTTGTTCGTAGCAATTTACACTTGCTCTTTCTCAAAAGGCTATCCGAATTTCCAACTTTCAGTAATCTGGTCTCTGATCACCAAGCAAGAACTCACTGAACTGTGTGGCTAACTGATGATTAAAACTCATTCTTCCTAGCATTGGTTTCCATATTCACCCTTAAGAAAATAAAATGTTCCAATGAGAATAGTATGAATGTGCAATAGCAAATACCTCCACCCATTGCATAACGAGGACTTTGCGAGTTGTCTGCTCCACATACATTTTTGGAACCAGAACATCTTGTATATCACCATACAGCTGTCTGCTTGAACACATTAGTCTTGGTCAGAACATACTCAATTGTAAAGTAATCAGGTCTCTGTAAGTAAATAGGTGAAACCCTTGAGCAATAGATCAGGTCAACTAGTCTGCATGTTTGTTAAGGCAACAAAATAAGGAAACAAATAAAAAATGTCATGGAATTTGATGAATTTGAGAAGAACTTAAAGAAATGTACTGCAGATGACAAAATAGCCAAAAGGATTATTGAATAGAAAGAGATAACTTCTTACCCTAAACAAAAGTTTAAAGTAAAAGATGAGTAAAACAATTATAGCACCTAAGAGAATATTAAAATACTCAACAACATGAAAAATATGACATTATTTTTTCCTTATGTTACAACATTTGGAGGCATCCAAAGCTTGGTTGCTCAGGTTTAGAAGATTTTGGTTACTACAATGATTCTTCGCTGAGAGGGGTCTTAAAAAATTGATAGTTGATGAATACATCAGAATAGTTATTGGAAAAGTAATGACAAAGACCAAATCAGAAACCAAATGATAATTGTTTAAGAGATTGCAAAAGGGACATTATAACCCTATCAGATAGGAATTAAAGAATATCACAGACATGGTTCAAAGTCGCAATATCGGCCATCGACTCAGGACTCTAAGACACACTGGTCACGGCGTCTCGTTGTGGTATCGAAGGATATGATCTAAAAAAAAATTTGAATATGATGAGAAATTTAGGTCATATCACGTTATCGTGGAACCGTATTGTCCGATTCAGTGATTGACTTGGAAACGACTAGGCCGAGTCATGAGACTCTTGTTTATATGTAATGTGTAACGTTATCGATTCGGAAGGTACCGAGTTGGATACAACTTGACCAACTTATATCGGTATCGACCGATATTTTGAACTATGATCACAGAGAAATATAAGAACTGGATCACCACTTAAAAGAATTAAAACGAAGGGAAAAGGTCAGTTTGCTGGTGGAAGAAGGAATGATATTATTAAGGCAACAGCTAACTACGGGAAGGCAAAATTCCGATGTTGGTGTAGCTTATAGTGTGCTTGGAGGGGTGGATTAGATACATCATACAAGACTTACTTTGGCATATTTTTGCAAAAAGTAGTTGCACTCAGATTTGAATATAGCCTGCACATTTTAAAATTGCACCAGGTAAAGCTAGTTCACTACATATAGTTCAACACTCACTGGGTATGATTTGGAAAAGACATCATGCAAAAATTAAAATCATAGTCAGAAGTGTATGTTTGTGTGTGATAATTAAATTTTATTTTTAATCTCTTTCGTCCTTCTTCTGAACAATAATTTGCACAACTCCAGAAATATATGAACAAAACCTTGGTGATCATCATAGTATTACATGACATGTGCTCTTATACATTGATAAATGAAAAGGAAGAATCTGAAGACAATATGATTAGTTAAAGTTTGTTGTCCCTCGGACAAAACATAATCAACATCACAAATCAATCAGCAATTAGGACACTTTTTGTGTACCTGTTTAATAGACTAATTCTTCTCCTAAGTGAGTTTTTAGCAACCTGGAGCTAGACTCAACAGAAGTGTTCTAATAGAGCATGGCTCTGTATGTGATTTATCAAGTCTGCAGGAGAAAGAGACCTTAGAATAATTGAACTCACTGTTCAATTTTCATAATGAAACAGAAATGCAACTGTTGTATCGTACCTAAATTTAACTCCATTCATCGCTTCTTTCTTGTAGTCCATCTCCTGCATTTAATGTGATTACCTGTATTCAATATGAAGTACTAAGAATATTCCTGTCCCAATATATGAGAGAGAGAAAGGCATTTCAAATATTGTTTTTAACCAACACATCGAGAGATTGATAATGTGCACCACCTATATGTTTAGTAATCTGCAATACAAAAATCAACTCTTAGAATCAAGTTTGAATTTGAACCACAAAGGTGTCTCCTTCAAGCTCTATGAAAAGCTAAATCACTATTGCACCCTAATGTTTTATTTCAAGCGACTATTTTCTACATAACACCACTTATTCCATGTGCAGAAACTGAAAGGTCCATACGTTGGTTAGGTGCGCACATGAATGGGATAAGGTGTCATGCAGTAGTTTGTTGTTCCTCTAAAAACAAGGCGATTCTTGTATACAATCTAATCACTCCAGAGAAATATTGACTTGAAAAAATGTTCTTCATATATATGAGATAGATGATATCAACTTTGACAGACAAACACTGTTTTGAGGCCCCTGTGAGATAAAAATTGCCCCCAATTCCCCAAAGCCAGTAAACCAAAGCCCCACTGCAGAAGAAATTTGGGAAAGGTGTTCTGCTCGAATCAAAAAGCTTCTGGAGAGTTAACTGCCCAAATGGATGATGCACAAAAAATAGCCACCTTTTTAAACATCATTCCCAGGCCAAGGTTTATTTGATGTTCTTCTTGGAGCATGCCGACTACGATAATCCTTGGAAGGACTGTGGGCCTTAAAGAATTAGAGAAGGGCATTTCAATGCTCTATCAATGTTAGAGGGAAAAGGTAGCTATCTGAATGAGATAGTGGAAAACGAGTATGAGAGTAATGTGGACTGAAATCGAAGAGATTGCTTTCACTAAGAAAGAGTAAGGCGTTGACATCCTCAACGGTCTCCACAAGAGAAGTTATCTCATTAATTTCTTTACAATTCTGGTCACTGAAGTAATTAAGATTCTATAGCGGTATAGCATGAGGAGAAGAAAGTGACAACCATGAAAGAACACTAGCACATAGCGAGAGATGACAAAACTAGTGATACTTGATGCAAAAAGGACTTTACCAATATAATATCTCCTTAAAATCTAATCATGGGTTAAATTGACAAGCTGTGATAGAATCGGAAAGCAAGCAAAGAGAATCTTTGTGCAGATCTATATCTAAGCAAATCCTCCATGCTTTCCCTTGACATCACAATCCTATGGGCTTCTTCTCTTAAATCTCAGCAACATTCCATATTTGGCTTTTTCACAAATCAAGCATTACCCATAGCCTTGACTATGATCATTTTAAGGATGACAAACCAGTTTAGGGCAAGTGGGGACCTCATAACTAATCAAGACTACATAGAGATGGTAAGTCCAGATATCAACCGAGGCCAAATAGATAAAGTTAACAACTTCAAGAAACCACCAAACTTTGTGTATCAAGCAAACAACAATAATTGTCAACATATTAGTTGCACCTCCCAATAACAAATCATTTGACTGTTTTGCATTCATTGTTCTGAAAAAACCGAGCAGAGATATGAATGGGGATTGAAAACTTTCTCTCTTGACATTAAAGAAGTTATTATTTGTGTGGGCTTATACGAACCAAGTTTTCTGTGTTTTTTTTACTTCTTGTAGAATTACGAGAGAATATTATACATCTTTGTCTTTTTGCATGCATGTTGGCTTTTGTGTTAGAATAAAACGCTTTCACTTATTACCTAAAGAAAAGGTAAAATTTTAAAAAAAAATACAAGATTTCAATTGTTGAGTAGTCAACTTAACAGCCAAGAAAAACATTTGATATTTCTTTTCCTGGTGACAATTTGGTCACCAATTTAATGTTAAGCTTCAAAAATAAAAGAACTAATATTCACTTACAATAAAACCATATTCAGTCATCAAAACTTCAACAAATCTAAGTAGGAGAAATCATCATAAGGGAGAAACAGAAAATTTTACATGGAATCAATAAATAGTTTGGAATAATATTTCTCCGAAGTAAAAGTGCAGCCAGTATGAGCAGTGTTGAGATGGATGAATGGTCACACAAGAAAGGAAACACCAAGGCTTGAGAAATGAGAACACAAAGGTTGTGGTTAGGACAAAATGAGACAAGCCATCTAAAATGGTAGTTTGTTCCAAGCTGACACAAGAAAAATAGGATGTGCGGGTACAGGCTTCTAATAAAGGATTAAAAAGTGGACACTATTACTCTAGATAGAGCTTAGTGGCAAAAAGAATTGATGTAGCCAACCCTAAGTGGGTGGGCTTCAAGGTTTTGTTGAATAAATAAGAAGGAATTTTTATAGGTATTACTAGTATATCAGAAATCCTGATTTTTTTGTTCTGTTTGTTTGGTGGCTGAGCCCAAAGTTAAGGGTGGTATTTGACAAGATTATTTTAATTCAGTTCAAAGGCAATCAATCATACTGGGAAATTGAAAATTTCACAATCGAAGCGTAAGGACATGGATATTTATACCCGAAAAAGACTTGATGCCCACTCATCAACGACCGCCTGCACATTGAGAAGCCATATTCTTCAAGAAAAATGGTCAACAACTATGCCTACATATTCAATGGGCACTCATGTACCCATGAGATGAGACCCAGTCAAGCATCATAGCCACTAAGGCCTTCTTTCAACTAGTTGGACAGTGAAGCAGGCTCGGACAGACTTGGACAGACAGAAATAATACTTTGGAGAGGCCATATCTCAAAAAGGATCTTCATATTGGCCGGTACAGAGTAATTACAAGTAAAAACAGGTTCTTGAAACCCATCCATGTTATGCCCCTACAGCCAGATATCTCACTGACCATTCCAGCCAATTAAAGTCTTCGGGGTCTTCTTGTCCCAGCTACATATTTTGATTCTTACTGTCACGGAAAAGTTACCTATTACGACATTACCTGAAGATCAGTGTTAAACTTCCCTGCTCTCCGAACCAACCCTGCAAGGTAACGCAAAATTAATATGTCCAAGGAAATGGCTGCTTGAACTCCTGGCCTCTGCACTTTGACAGCAACAACTTGTCCAGTACGATGAAGCCTAGCTTGATAGACCTTGGAAGTATGAAAAAATTAAAGTCAAAAAAGAAAAAGAAAACCACGATTATTTCAATTTTCAAGTGAGACACCAATAGTGACACCATACAAGCCCCACCTCCAATACCAAAAGCAACAAATTTATAACAAATTATAAACCTGTCCAAGTGATGCTGCCGCAACAGGCTCAGGTGAGATCTCCGAGAAAAGATCATCTATTGGTAATCCAAGTTCTTGCTCTATTGTATCAAAAGCAACTTCAGATGAAAATGGTGTTATTCGATCTTGCAACAATGAGAGCTCATCCAGATAAGAAGGTGGTATCAAGTCCTGCCAAGAGAAATATTTCCAGAGAGCATGAGTGCAGTTGATTAGAACATGATATAAATGAGAGCATTAAAATGCACCCTGAAATTCGGTATGTGTTTATGTTTACGCATTTTTTGAGAGGTAATTGGGTGAATTAAATAGGAACTAAAAGATCATGAGCTTAATCACAAAGGCAGCTTCTCATGGGCCTCCTCGTTTAACATAAAGGTAGCCATGAAGCACGGATACGGATATGGATGTTGTATCCGATACAATACGGACACGGAAATACGATAAAGTTCTAAAATATAAGACACACACGGGTACAATGAGGATACGGCTAATTAAAATAATATTATATATTTTTATGTATATAATAACAACATTAATAATAACTAAAAAAATAAAATCTCTTTAAAATAAACAATACCAAAATAATATACAAAACATTATTCAAAACTTACCAATATGGCAGTAATAAAATAAAGTAATATAACTAATAATAGTAAACCCTCTTAAGTATTAATATTATTCAGTTCAGAGAGAGAGAGAGAACATGCGTACGCGATCGAAGGTAGTCGAGCAGTGGAGAAGCCAATGATTATATGTTGAAAGAGATGAAAAAGAGGATTACGGACACTCGACCAAGATTGTCAAAACATGTATTAGAAGGCATATCATTTTTCAAAAACAGTGTATCGCGTATCGTAAGATATGTGCAGTTTTATAAAAAATATTAAAAAATATTATAATAACATTTCATTGCACCACAAATTTCTCACATAAAACAATTTAAAGAAACTACAAGGACCAAAACCAAAAAGTAACAATCTAAGTATTGAAGTTTCTAACATAATTCATCAATATCAAAATTTAGAGAGTTCTAGTTCTAACATCTAAAGTAGCCAAAAGATGACACTTTTAACAATCAAACTATTTGTTACTGCGATAGAACGAATAAAAAAGACTTTTACTTCTTAAAATTTGTAAAGAGTGAAGCAACATCATATTATTACATGGTGTTTAAAAAAATTACTTTCAATCGAAAAGACGTTTTCTTGTTAAAATTCAAAAGAATTTTTTTGATTTGTTTCATCCCGTATCCGACAACTCGTACGTACCGTCTAATATATTGGGTGTATCGCATGATACGATGCAAACCGATCCACTTAAGCTATACGTATCATTTTTTTTATTTATCGCAATGTATCATATTGTGTATCGTACGATATTAAGAACTATAAACTTGACTGGTTGATTTTGTAGGTTTGGTTTCAATTTCTTCTTCAATTGCTTCTTCTTCTTCTTATTTTTTGTTATTTTTGACTGACAATCCCATCATAAATCAATTGACTCGATTACGAATTTGTCCGAGTCCACCACTAAGTTATTATCGTGTCCCTCCTGTATCCCTGCCGTATCCGATTCAAAAAATTTGTATTTTCTATACAGGACACTTTTAGAAGTGTCCGACACCGCCACGTCGACCCCTGGCGAGTATTTGTGTTTCCTAGAAAAGCAGGCTACCAATTGGCTTTACCTAGTTCAAGCTTCCTATGACCTACATGCAACAAGGCTTGGGATCAACCTGGTTGCAGAATTTGGCTGGAAATGAATGAGCTAAATCATCTATGCTATATAGAAGGATGGACTGCTTCAATGATCTGGACAACACTCTTCAGCATTTCAACTGTACCAGCAATCAGCTTGCATTGGCGATTAACAATTTCATTCAGCCAACAAAGGGTAAAACTACCTTTGGAAATGGTTCACCTTGAGCTTCCTTGCGTTCTTGTTTTTTATTCTTTTTAGGGAGGGGGGAGGGATTAGGTGTTTGTAATGCTCAAATTAGCGGTTGGGGCTCAATAATGTCAAGGTGGCTTCTACGTGGTCGACTAACAGCACATGACTTATCAGTTACTGAATCCAAATAATGTGTATTACATAAAGCTAATGCCAAGCAAAGGTGAAATGTGGTCATGCATTTCAGGGTTTGTCCTGCATGTACAATCCAAGACTGCGGCAGAACCACAAAAATAGGTTCTCTTACCATTGCAATAAGACGAAGACTTGATGTGTATATATTAAAGCAAAGCTTCCTGCACTTATCCCTTAATGTCTACATAACATATAACAATCAGAAAGCTTTGGCGCTGGGCTGTGTGCATGTTATCAATGAAGTTTTATATCAGCAAACATACCCCATGGAACAGGTCGATTTTAATTTAAACATAACATAGAGGACTTAGCTCAAGAAAAGAAACCAGGAATTGAAGCAGAGCAAGTTGGGAAAAGAAAGTTTCAGCTTACAGCTCGTGATGAGACAGCCTGAGCAATTTTAACATACGCCTGCAAAAAAAAAATAATGCAATAAACTAATTAACAAAAATGTGTATATAGTAGGACAGCAGTCTAGTAGTCAATAGGTGGGTAATATAGTGCTTTATGAGTAAGGAAAAAAAGACAAAAAAGAAATGGGGAAAAAAGGGAAAATACATATCTAACAACTTGTGCAAGGAATTTTTTATATATGAATTACATCTTTGTAAACAACTTTTGAGAATGAGATCCCTCAATCTTGTTATAGTATTAAAAAAATTAAAGGCACTAATAGTACCTCAATCATCAGCTGGACAGGAGATATAGTCATCAATTTGCTTATACAAAAAAAGGAGAACAAATTAACATGCCCTTATATACTTACACCTACATGATACTTGAAAAAAAGGTGGAAAAGGCATCAAACAATAGAAAACTTTCTGGAGTAGGCACAACATAATCACGATAGTAACTTGCTAAATCAGGCCTACATCTCGAATCAATAAAGGCTTAAATCGTTCTGTTCAAATGAATAAAGGTCTTAAGTATTGGTATCAAAAGAAGCTAACAAAAATAGATGCTCACAGCTTGTTAAAGAACAATGAACGACAACAGTCTAATAAATACCAAAACTAATAATAAGAACCATAAACTAGAAAACACACCGGGCCAAGCTGTACTAATATCTCCCGCAATTCCGCAGCTCTAACCTGAATCCATCAATTAATGTGACATTCAATTTCAAATACATACATATGTACAAAAAAAACCTGAATATATACAAACACTGATACACAATTATGGCTATGCGCTATTAGAGATTAGTATTAGTAAGAATTGAACGACTGGAGTTGAGGCGAAATTTTCAGACACTGACCTCGAACATCAGCTCTGACCGCTCGGTGACGCTATCGATGTACCTAAGCGCGAACCATTTGCCAAGTGTAGTACCGATTTGGAGAAGACGCCGCAGAAGAATAAGAGGTTTCTTCCGGTATATCGAAGAAATTTTGGAGATGTTGTACTCCACAAGAGAGTCCGCCACCGAAGTGCTGAGCTCGAACAAATAACCGGAGTACTCCGTAAATGCATCGATGTCACCGGAAGTTGCAGTAAGCGGTGGTGCTAGGCGGCGGGACAAAAAATTCGCCGGACTCCGCCGTAACTGGTGCCGGAGGGAGATTGCCAAATTGGAATTGGCGGGAAATAAAGGCGGCGATGACAGTGGAACGAGAATCATAATGGATTCAAATATGTTTGTTGTGGTGATGAAAATTTGAAGGCACAGGGAATTGGAGTGCCCGCAACCACTACTGACATAGGACAAATTCTCTGAGAATCGTCGTCCTCTCTTTTTGAGCTTTTTATCTGCTGTTATTTTTTTCAATTTTTTTGGTTTCTAAATATGAGTGACGCTGACGCCAAGTGGCGAATTAGGAAAGAAAAGGAGAGTACAGGCGAGTGAAGAAGCCTTCTGTGCAGTGTTTTAAAATTCGGTTCGGTACGACGGGTTGACCAAGTGAATCGGACCGAATTAATTATTGGATCGTTTGAGTAAAAGAATCGGACAAAATCCGTTGAACTGGCTGATTTTGTAACAAAATTTATGAACCGAACGGTTTAGAACAAACTAGACGGATTGCTTCGAATGCTATAAAATTAGGTTGTAGGAATTTTTTTTTTCCCAAATTCATTCAACTTTGCCTTTTGCCTCTGTTTCTCCTCGTCTCCAATGAAACTATTGGTCGCCCAACCCCTCTCTCTCTCACACACACACATAGAGCACAGTAGCACATCACTCAATCGAAGTGCTTAGATTCTTCGATTCAGATTTGGGGGTATTTTGCCTTTTTGCCCTAAATCAATCCAATCCAGAGTTCTAAACCTCTTTGCCCTAAATCGATCCATCCAAACCACTAGGCACCATCGCCTGAGCACAGCTCCACGAGGCACGAGCAACTGAGCAACTACTCCACCAGGCACCAGTGATTGGGCACAACCTCTAGTCGTGACGAGGTGAGTTCCTTCCCCTTTGTCTCTCTCTCTCCACCTATATATATATAGCGCTTAAAAGGATTTGGATCCAATCGTGAATAGAGAGGAGGGGAATCAGATTTAACTATCTTATTTGGTTTAGCCATTTGATTTCATAATAAAGATAATAACTGAAGTGGGTATTCTTTGAATGCTACTTGGGTCAAATAAGTTTTGGAAACGATTTCAATTAACAAAATGGGAAAAAAGGATGTCACCAGCAAAGAACAAGGAAAAAGAATATGGTATAACAAAAAAAAAATAGTACCATACCATTAAATTTTGTAAGTTTTGATAGTTCAAATATAAATTTTTTGGATTGTTGAGATATCGAGATATTAACTGACTACTCATCTCGGATGAGATCACTATATTAATGTGTGTGTGTGTATATATATATATATATATTTATGTTTCTGTATCTATAATTTGTGTGGGAGAGACTTATGTGATATGGTGGTTCTCTATTTTCTTTACACATATTGTTCTTGGATTTTTTGTATTACATTGTACAACAATCAAATGGGTTTGTTCAAATTAACTCTATTTCATCAGTGTTATTGAATAATTTGTATTTGTTAGATCCCCAATCTAAAGACTCTATGATGAAGAAATGAATTGTGATTCCTATTTCTAGAAATTTAATGTTGTTGTATTATCAGTTTGAATACATTGAAATTGGATGTTTGATAATTTTTAATGTTATTTTTATAATTATTGGAATTTTTAAGTCTATTTATTAGTATTTATAATTATTTTTTAATTTTTTATTATATTACCGATTTAACTAGTGACCTAATAATTGATCCAATAATCCATTAACCCGATTTTTTGCTGAGTTTGACGTCCGGACGGCGGATTTTAAAACTATGCTTTTGTGTTAGCTGATTCCCTCTAGGGGTGGTTTTGCGTGTCTTATATGTTTTGCGCGTTTGACCGTAACATAGTATTTTTTTTTAACAGCAACGGTGACAATTGAATTTGGCATTTTTTGAACCGGAATTTGGCATTAATAAATTTAATGATGAGATTCTTTCCAATATTAAATTTATATCTATATTATTAATAAAAATACCTTAACATGTAAAATTTTTTATTCACTATTTTATCTTTATAACAAATTTCAAAGACCGCTTTATCCTTTTATAATTAAATATTTAAATTGATATCATATCTTTATATATTTTAATTTCTAAATTACCTATAATATTTCTTTTAATTATTTATTCTCAATATATAAATATCAATTTCTATAAAAAAATTTAATTAACTATATTACCCTCATTTTATATGCAAAAATAAGGGCATCTCCAGGCAAACCCTTTTTTATACCCAAATTTAAATTTGGGAAAAAATAATTTAAAATACTTCTCCCATGCAAGACTTATACTCGTACCAAATGAAGGAAAATTATTTTTTAAACCCAAATCAAAGAAAACATTTTTTTAAACTCAAATATTTAATTGTGAAATTTTATCATCCTTTAAAAATTCAATGATCATATTTTACCCTCTTTTAAATTTAAATTTGTTTTCATTTAAATTTGAGTTTTTCTATTAGAGATGTTTATACAAAATCGAACTTTTTACCCGCTTTTTTACTCAATGTGGGTAAGAGTTTAAATTTTCATTAGAGATAGTCTAACATTATGCTCCCCTTTCCCCCAACACACACACACACACACACACACAGACACAAATATATATATTATACTTTCATCAAAAAATTTAACCCTTTCATTTTTAGGACAAAAAAATTTGTATATATAATTTTTTAAAATCAATTTATGTTACAGAAGCATAATTCATCAATTCTAGTAAATTTTCTAAGTTTTATTAAGATTTTGTTTGAAAATACGTTGTAATATATTTTTAATATATTTCATAATATATATTATAAAGTAGTACATTAAATTTTATCCAAATATACCTGACTTTATTCAAATTTTTATTTTTCAAATATCACTAAAAATTACTCTCAATTATAAATTTCTAAAAAAATATAACTCAATATATTTTTAATTTTTTTTTTTTATAATTAGAACAACAAATCTTGAGAATATACAAAGTTTTCATAATTATATAATAAAGTATAAGTGATGAAAAAATAAGTTTGATAAATTTAAGATAATATTTAATTTAAGTATACATATATGTTTTTATGTACAAAAATTATTCACGTACAAAGCACGTGATACATTGTTAGTATATAGAAAATGTTATTTGGATTTAAAATATGAATTTAAAAAGTGTATTTAATAGTCACAACTATTAAATATGTAGTTGGTCCCAATAAATTGTAAGATCTATAGTGAAATCAATGGTTGTGATTATCAAATACATTTTTTAATTATACTTTTTAAGTCCATTTACCATTACTCTAAATACATTTCACTATCAATTCATTGATTACAATACATTATATCCTCAAATTATATCCTAATGGTATTGCTCTTTGCATTTACCCCCCAAATGTCGAGTAAATATTGGCGTAATGATGTCATTACGTAATTATTGTCATATACTATAATCATTTAATAATAAATATATAATTGGATAAGGTGAATCATACTTTATAGTTATTTTATTTTTATATACTGGTGTGGTGGGTACTACTAAATTAAGTGAGATCTACTTGTTTACGTATTGATATATTATTGATTTGTAACATCACGTGGTGTTAATAGTAACTAGTGTCGACCCAACTTATAGCTCACAAAGGTCATTGCCTTGGGCCCCCAAGTTATAAGTAAATTTTGAGACTCAAAAATAAAATTTTAAATAATTGTATACAATCTAAATTTTAGAATATAATTTAAATATTCAATGCATTTTAACTATTGAATTAGCAATAAGTGCTAACTTTAAATAAAGAATTAATAGTGAGTGCTAACTTTAAATACAATTTACTATTTATCAAATGTATTTGGTCTTCAAATTAAGTACAAGTAGTATTATTGTAAAAATTTTAAAATCTCTTTCAAAAAGATATGGGGTCATAAAGGTCAATCTAATTTTTTTATCTCAACCTATGTTTATATTATATGTATTATCACTTTATAGAATTATTATTAAAATCAATTATCTATTGCATAATAGGTATGAATAATAATTTTACATTTCTATAAGTTGAACTTGAGGCCATTTTTTAACTATATTTACAATGAACAAGACGACTATAAAATATAGTGAACATAAGTACTATACTATTTGAAATTAATTAACTATAGTTGACTTACTAAATCTTCTTATTTAAAAATAGTTTTTTTTTCTCTATAATATCTATCTAGGTCTTGTTTATTTTAAGATCACTCATATTGTATAAATTCATATTTTATATTCATTTAGAAAAATATTCATTTTATTAGTTAACTAATTTTTAATTATGTTTCTCTTTATATCTTAAACATATAACATGTATCATTGCATTTAATCTCCGTATTTGACTTCATTTAATGTAATTTTTATTTACAAAATTTAATTTTTAAATAAACAATTTGATACTATTTAATATTACAATTATTACTGAATAATATTAATAAGTTCTCATTTAATATTTTTGCCCGCCCTTAGTTGGGTTGGCCCCTGTGATGTACTGTCATTATTACGTTCAATATTTTCTCCAAAATGTCACGAGAGAGAGAGAGAGAAAGAGGATAGCAATCGGGTCAAGTGTTGTGTCATGTCGTTTTAAGTTGATGTTTAGTATTAATTAATTTTAATTTCTTTTATTTAATTAGTTGAATTAAATATTTTGACAGTAATTCCACTGATGAGTCTTGTTGTGGTCAAATTAACTCATATAATCAATTAACAAAAAAACACATGACTATGACAACTCCTTTTTTCCTTTTTTATTTTAAAAAAAATCAAGTATTTATACAATACCTAATTGAGAATTAAAAAAAACTCTCTCCACACAATACCAATTTATCACATCAAAATCAGATCATTCATATTAAGGAATAATTCAATCTATTCATTATTTATGATAATAAGTGATTCATGTAAAAAAAAAGTGAAAATTGAGGGTGAATCCCCCCGGATGGACTTATAATGACTTGAGTCCTAGAAGAAAATTTATTTGAAAGTAAGTTCATATTTAAATTTATATGTGGGTACTTATCTCCATTTATTTTTTAAATCTCAAAATTATACCTAATGGTGTTAGTTTTGTTTAGTTATAAAAAGCCACATAGATTTGATCATTTAAATATTTATGGAAACTCTTGATTGAGTTATATATGTAAATTGTTTATTAAATAATATGATAATTAACGGAAGTTTAATATAGAAATTATATATTCTGATAGTTATATATGAAAAGTTTAATGTACGAATAAATTATTGGTTTACTAAGTCAAAATCAAATCACAAACTTTTTTTAACAACAATAATGCATAATATAGAGAGATTGAATAATGTCAACAGAATTCAACAACACGAATGTTAATATATAATAACATTTATGTTACTGTATGATTAAAGTTACAATTAGGGTCGTGTTATCAGTACAGTCGTGTTACTATATTGATACCAATGTTACTATAGTATAGTTAATATACAATTGCAAACTTTGAGACGTATGTTATGTAACATATACTTTAATATTCACAGTAACATCAAAGTTTTGTGCTCAGTAACACATTTAATTTTACAAAATACAAGACAATAGTTTTTTTTACAGTAACATCAACTTTCAAATGATTTTTGATTTTTGCAAAAATACATTCCACAAATTAAAAATTTACAAAATGACGAATAATAACACACAATGGATAGTTGAATTATGACACTTAACACCAATTGTGAATATCAAGATATCAAAATTTTGAACTCTATTTTTCGGTACACATATAGTAACATGAATTTTTTTCACAGCAACACAACCAAGAAATACTCGATTGTCTTGCGCAACAAAAAAATCAACAAAATTGAAATCTATAACAATTTAATTTAATAATAATGTATGAGTTCTCTTGAATCTTGGTTACAAGGTTAATGTCCACTTTGATATAATTAAATCTCTAATTGTTATTAATTTTTTATCATGTTACTAATTTTTTGTGAGCATGTTACTATTTTTTTAATGATCATGTTACTATTTTTATTGAGTATATTATATTGTTATTTTTTAAATATTAATATTTTATCGATGAAGTCAAAAGTAAACTGGAATAATAAATTAAAATTGTATTTTATGAAATATAATGATTTTGAAATTTGAATATGAATGATTTTTAGTAAATGTCAGTTTCTTGTTTTTCGGATAAGGAAATATTGTGACTTGGAAGATTATAGCCGCATTTGAAGGTAATTATGAAGGAGATGTATAAAGCTGATTATTGTGTCCATAAACGTCGTTTATAACATTCTTACAAAGAAGGATTATAATAGAAAAATTGACAAAAAATGGACTTAAAAATAAATAAATTTTCTTGATAGACTTATCTTCAAATAAGTCCATATAAGGAGATGAGCCTCTAAATTTTCCTAAAAAAAAATAGTTAATCCTGATCTATCAATTCTAATTTTATATTAAGTTTTTGGGAGTTTAATAAAAAGTGGCAGGATAATCTGCAAAGCTGGATTCTTTTCCTATTTCAAGGTAGATGAATCATAAGTATAATCTTGTTGCAAACAGGAAAAAAAATCGTAAGTATTATATATGTTAGATATAACTGTGATGTTCCAATCATCACCCATTATGTTAGAGAAACACAGCCATTTACAAGACAGTCTTTCATCTTATATATAGACACAACTCCGACGTCTACACTCAACGCAAGTTACTACTTGCAAATATCTCCAAAAAAACACAAAACTACTAAGCTATACCTATATATCTAACATCCCTCGGAGCCTCCTGCGTCTCCGTCTTCGGTACCTCCACCGTCAACACTTCATTCTCCAACCTGCACTTGATGTCGTCCACCTTAGCATTCTCCGGTAGCCGGAACCGCCTGACGAAGCTCCCTCTCTGACGGTCCACACGGTGCCACTTGTCGTTCGTATCCACCACTTCCTTAATCCTCTCACCGCTGATCTGCAGTATGTTGCCGTCTTCCACCTGCACCTTCACTTCTCCTCTCCCCACCCCTACCATTATTAAACAAGCCGTTCAGTTTATCCAGTATGGACACCACTAACCTGCACCCACGTGAGACTAGCGCGCACAGTCCTATTGCGCACCCTATGGCCATTGCTTCTTTCTCTTTCATCATGTTACGTTACACTTTAAAAGAGTGCAGCAAGCAAAGTTTAGTTGTATCCATTTAAACATGGACTATGCTAACATGTACCGTGCATGGGTACTGCCTCCGCACCCCACTCATAGAATAGCTTAATCACGTAAGTCAAATTAGCTAAGCCTAACAACCACATTAATCTGGGTTGCTAAAATACGCCTATGGGCTGCAAACATGCGCCCTCTATTGATCAAGGGAGGGTGGGTGTTTTTTTGAGAGATGTGTGTGTGAGAGAGAGTAAGAATTTTTATGTATTTATTAAGTTTTAACAACTGGTAAAAGGTGCTCTGAGTATCAGAGTTAAGCTAACATATTGATCTGGGTTGCTAATATAGACGAGTAATGCTATTTTGATCTAAAAATTTGATTTAATTTATTGACATAATGATGTAATTTCAACAGAACCATTGGATCAACACAAAATTTTAATATTTGTTGGACTGCATAGTCAATTTAAAATTTATAATGACTTAGATCAACAAATTAAGTCTCAATAGTATTGCTTAATATACACGCATTCGAAGACAAGAGACAATTCGTGTGTCTGTGTGTGCGCGAGAGAGAGAGAGAGAGAGAACCGGGGAGATCAACGCGGAAGATATGGGCTCTGTCGGTTTCACGCCAGTCTACGTTAGGAAGAGCCAAGGCGGCGATGTCGTCACCCTAGTTGTCGCCTCCACCTGGTTGGATCCAGATGGAGCCACCAAAAGGGTACCACAGATCGGAAGAGAAGGGAGATGATCCAAACCATGAGTCACGTTGATCTCCTCCTCTTCCTCGACGCCACCCTCCAAGCCACTGCCCCAACATACTTGTCACTCTCTGATTTTCTTTCCGAGAAAGCTAGGTGTATATTACTATTAATTCCATTTTCACAGTTTATATTAGGCCCATGGAAGACTATGTACTGTCGACCTTGCCTTGCATGGTTGCATGCTCATGCACGCGGCCACGTGGGTCGTTGACAACACGTGTCAGAAAGGGCGGCACCTGTTACACGTCAGATATAATAGATTATAATTAAATTTTAAAATTAAAAAAAATCTACCTTCAATCTAACAATTATAATTAATTAAATATTTTTATATGTTTTAGAGAAAATAGTTATGTCAATATTATTAAGTAGTATAACCCTTCAATATTAATTTTTTTCTGCTATATCTAAGATTTAGTTCGCTAATCAAATACATGGGTTTAAAAATTGAATAAAATAACGTGTGTGGTACTTATTTTGCAAAATGTTTACCGAAATTTAATCTCATTAGTTGATCCGTATAACATTAAATATTTATAGTCATAGTTAATTTTATTTTGTTTGAGATAAAGTTCTGAAATTTCATATAGCAATACTAACGTTTAAGTAAATAATATTATGACGTTTAAGTAAATTAAATGTAATAATTTAAGGGTCATTTGTGTAGTTTATTTTTCTTAAATCTTATAGTATAATGTTTGGATAGTCAATTATTCAGTAATCTAACTTAGAAATAAAATTATTACCGTAATTCAATTCTCAATAATGGTGGGTATCATAAACTCATGGTCAATAATAATAATCTCATACCTATATTGATTGAGTATTCTATAAAATAAATAATTAACTTCATTTTAAAAATTAAGTTCTCCTTTCTAAAATTAGGATCTTTCCCACATTAAATTGCTTACAATAATCAAACAATAAATATAACATTAATATGTAAATTGAAACCCGAGTATTTCATTGACATACTCTCCTTCTCAATTAAGATTACTGTCATCTACATGGACAACAAATTAATGATATTTTCGACTGTTCGTTTTAAACCTATCTGATGAAGAACTTCATTTCTTGTACCCATCAACCGAAACCCTAAAACTAAACATCTTTCATATCCATCAAACGAAGCATATCAACAAACTCTTTGGATAACCTACATTTATGTAATTTTTCTACATTAGATATAAGAGCTTGCTCATTGCTTCGTTTAAAGTTTAGGGGATCAATTGACACAAAAATTAATTTAGGGGTTTAATTGCTAAAATTTTAGAGTTTGGAGGCTTAATTGATACGAAAATTAGTTCAAGAGTTTAATTGATAAAATATTAGAGTTTAGAGATTTAATTGACATGAAAATTAGTTTATGACTTAATTGACACAACAATCATAGTTTAAGAGTCATTTGTGTAGTTTATTTATTTAAGAATGAGAATCACATTCTCAATCTAGATTATGGCCACCCAAACACACTTTCAAGTATAACAACAAATTCTCGTTCGGAAATGCTAGAAATGTATGAGAGAAGTGTTGTGAGACCTTGTTGTCTGTCCCCCCGAAACTCCTGGAAGTGCATGATGCATTTGAGTACGAATTTTGGCATGTGTTCCTGTTTTATCTGCAACTTTGTATTAAATAACGTTGCTCTAAGTCTTGTAGTCGATATCGTTTTTCTTTTTGTTGGACGCTATTATAATAGAGAAAATTTGAACCCACTACCTTAAAATCTTAATAACAGTGGCCTTGGCCGCTAACCTCAAGTGGTAGATATCTTAGGTTGCAGTGGACGTGTCAAGCACGTCGACTAGTAGAGGTTTCAAGCCTGCTAAGGTAATGAATTAGTTTGGTGTTTTAAGTAAGCTGTGATTTTCTTTTTAGGGCCAGCCCAATAAAAATTGAGGTTCTCAGCGAACATTTTAAATAAGACCTCTCATAATTTAGTATAAAAATTATTGTAATATGCTATTAATCTTATATAAAAATTATTATTCCAATAGCTTTTTTTTTTTTATCTTGAATTGCAAAATATTTATTGGTATAAAATCCACTATGTTTTTAAACTGCCATGGCCAATCTCAATCTTTCATAGTGACCTTGATGAAGAAACTTACATATTTGTCGAACATTCAGACATTTGTAAATTCTAATTACAACTTATCACTATTTATTTATGATAATATCTCTTTGGATCTTGTCATCTGTCGGAATCATTTTCGGAGGACTCTGGTGAGTTTAATCTGTACTGAATCTTACCAAAAATATAATACTAAGAAATAAATTTTGGAAATCCATCTTTCACCATTGGCCGGCCATTCTCTCCATCCTCTTTAAATAAGTAATACACTTAATCCGTGAGTTTGATAAACTTTATGTTTCAATATCTATATAATAAACTATAATTAAATCATAAACTCTTTAAAAGTTTAAATACCAACACCATCTATCATCACTCTCCACTCTCTTTGGTCTTGACAGCTTCCAAGCACATAGCCACAAACCCCTAAACCCAGCAGATGGCCGAAATCGTTCGTTTATCAACAACTGTTTTGTGCAATTATACAATCAATATTATTATTTGCCAATTTAGGTTTGATTTGTCTGTCCTGAAATGGTAGCTTGACTGAGAACTGCAATCGTTAGTATGACTGAAAAGACCCTGATCTCGACTGCGGACCAGATCCCAGACTTGGACCCAACCCAGAACCCGGACCAGACCTTAACCTTGGACTTGGACCCGAACTCGGACCTAACCCCAGACCAGGATCCGGACCCGACATCAGACCTAGACCAGACTCTAGACCCAGACCCGACATGAGACCTGGAACCGACCTCGACCCCAGACTTGAGTAATAGTTTTCATCAGACTTACATAAATTTCAACAAATGCTTGATGTCTGAGTAATATTAACAATTTAAATACGTTTGATATATGACATGTTGTTTACTTCAACTCTTTCACAACCTCCTTTTTTTTTTGTAACCTTTTATATGTATGATTGTGATGTGGTTCTTTTCGTTTTTCATTTGAAAAGTGCGATTGTGGATCTTTCAGTTTTCGCGTTTAAATTATTATACAGATGTGAATTTTTGGCAAAATATATATTAATTTTTTTGTAGGCACGAGCAATTACTAGTTACTTAATATTTATTCAATACTTTGGTTCTATAATTTTATTGTTGTCTTTGTTATGAAGTTGAGGGTCTGAGCATACTTTTTTTTTTTATAGCTGAAAATGGTACCGATGATATAGATTTAGAGTTCTAGTTTCAATATAGAATTTTCTGTAAATCACGTGTATTGATCGCACCCAAATCCTAATGCTCAAACTTAAGGCCTTAAGAATTACACATAAAGATGATTTTTTTTTTTTTTTTGGGGGGGTGGGGGAGATACTCTTACGTTTTTGTCAATTTTTAAGAAATTAAGTTGGTTCCCTCACTGACCATAAAAAAAAAAAAAAAAGTTGGTTCTTGATGCAGAGATTTTTCAAGATGGCCCCTAAAAGTCCTATTTCATGTCATGTTTTACTCTTAGTTGGCCCCCAAGTTTTAAATGTGTGGTTTAGCCTTTGATTACACTTTAGCAGACCTTTAAAGCCTCGTTTGCGACATAAACTCTGTTTGCTACAAACACAAGATCCCATCATTTCATTGTGTCAACTGTGCTTCTTGCCCAAAACTGATACATTTTGATTCGTCAGGTACATAGTTGCTTTACATTTGCTGCTAATCCTGATTTTCTCAAGAATAATATTCGTGTGAAGCCGGATCTTGATGCTCTTGGTGATGCTGGGTGGTACTGCCTCAGGGCAATCCTTTGGCCTACTGATTTTGAACTTCCCAAATCAGTAGTTGCTTTGCACGGGCCTCTCCTCAACGAAGCAGGGGTGATTCTATCATGTGGCGCCTCTTTATATTGGGAAGACGGGAAAGTAGCAACATTCTACTGCTCTTTCCTGGCAAACTTCACCACGGATGTAACTGTTGTTGGAACAAAGGGCAAGTTGCATCTTAATGACTTTGTTGTTCCTTTTGAAGAAAACAAGGGTTCATTCTGTGCAGGTACAGAATCTGGGACTACAGAACTTGTGATAGCGGGGGTACCAGAGCCAAGTGAGCACACTGTCATGACAGATCTTCCCCAGGAAGCTCTAATGGTGAAAGAGTTTTCTATGTTGGTTGGCAGCATTAAAAACAATGGTTTAAAACCAGAGAAGAAGTGGCCGACCCTCAGTCGAAAGACACGGCTGGTGTTGGATGCAGTAAAAGCGTCCATTGAGAGAGATTTGGTGGCTGTCGAGGTTGTGAGTTAATTTAGAATTTTCCCCCCCACATGTAAGGTATTTTGAACTGGAGTGTTGCTTCTTGTTTGTTAAGTTTTTTTAGTTAAACAATTAGAGGTGTTCGGATCAGCTTAGGGACATTTCGATTAATTCTTTTATTGGTTTTGTCAAAAACAGATCATCTATCAAGATTAAAGTATTCATAAATTATAAATTTTTCATGGTGCGGTTTCAAGGGATTGCCAAAATTTAAATTTAAGACGTCTGAATTTATAGCTCATCTTTGTTATCATTTAAGCTACTCCTTCGATTTGTTGTCTGTAAAGTTATGTTCTATCGGTTTTAATTCCGGGGGTGATAAAGCCTTCTGTTGTACAGTTATGTATCTGGATTGAAGGTCTGGCTTGGGGTGATGTCAGGCTTGATTCTGAAGAAGATTAAGGAAATACCTTTATGCTATGAAGCACCAAAAAACTAGGGGTGCAATTTGGGTTGGACAACCCGAGCCTATCTTAAAAAAATTAGGGTTTGGGTCAAAATTTTTTAACCCGAATTTAATTAGGGTTGGGCTTAGGTTTACGGGTTTAATCCAAACCCGACAAATTAAAAAAAAAAATTATGTATATATATAAAGTATTAGCACTGATTTTTCATTATTGGTGTAAAAGTAGATGATTAATAATCGTGCACTATTATGAATGAAATATATGGATTATGTTTTATGAATTTGTAATTATTCCCCCCTCTCTCTATCTCTCTCGCAGTGGACTGGTGGCAATGATTTATATGTTAAAAATTTGGTTGAAGTTATTGATTGTTAATTTATGTGAATATTATGTAATATATGTATTAGGTTTAGAATAATAAGCCTATTTTGGATTCTACCTGTACTCAACCCGAATTGAATCCGAAAAATAACTCGAACTCAGTTCGAAATCATTAACTTGAAATTATTAACCCGAATTTAATCTGAGTCTGCCCAAATTAAACTCGGGTAGTGCTTAAATTGAGTTCCTCAACTCGAGATAGGGTTAGAGTTAGGGTTAAGATTAAAAATTATATACTTAAGGTTGAACTAGTGTTGACTGTCTAACCCGTTCGACCTGCCCAAATTACACTCCTACCAAAAACAAGCAAAGCTTGGATGCTTTCTGCTCCTCGACTGCAAATCTTATTATGAAATTTTTTTCGCATTGGGAGTTTATGATTAGTCAAATTGTTTCTGTTTATTGACAGTAGAGACCTAGAAATACAAGGATTGTGGAAAGCTAATTCAGCAAAACTCGAGTAATAAATTATTAAGCCTGTACATATTAAAGACTTAAAAGGTCATTCATTAATTTGTTCACTTATTAATAGACTAGTTATTGTAATAATAGACTAGTTATTGTCTGTGTCTGAAGATACAGAGTAATAAAAAATAAAAAATAAAAAATAAAAAATATATTTGTATTCATATTCAAAATCAAATCACAAATATAAAGAAGAGATAAAGAAATTTAAGTATCGATTTATAGTGGGGTGAGAGGTAGTGGGCGGCAGTGGTGGTGATAAGAGACAGTGATGGTTGTGATGGGGGTGGCAGTAGTGGTGGCGGCGACGACAACGACAACGGTGGTAGTAGTGGTGACGACGGCGACTGTGGTGGTGGTGGGGGTAGAGGTAGTGGTAGGATGGTTTTAAACACTATTTTTTAAAAAAATATTATGAAAATTAATTTCTAAAAGTATTTTTAAAAAGTCAATCTAAACACACCTTTAGGGATCTATTTTTTTTATTAAATTTAGGATGTTAATATTTGCCGTTAGATTAATTTTAAAGTAAAATTTAAAGCGATCTCAATCGCGAATAGCAAAAGTCATTTTATTTATCTTTTGAGATTTGAATTATAAACTACTTTATTATATATAAATAGTTATATTATGTAACATTTTATGATTGAATATTTTCTCACTATAACTACTCTTAGCACTCTAAACAAACTTATTATAACTACTCCTAATTCTATTAAAAAAAAAAAAACTACTTCTAACTAAAACTCTTCAAATTTTCTTTTTTTAAAACTACTTCTAAAACTCTCCAAATCCGCAAATCTTACGAGCCTAATCTTTAAATTCCTCTCCTCATCTCCAACATAAAAGTAGTTTTCCTGTCAATTAACTCTCTTTATTTGTCTCCACAAGAATAATTTGAATATAATCCAGATCAATAATTTGTACACGACGAAACTTAGTTATTAGTAATAAAAAAACGAAATTTTGGTGCCCACTCCATTTTCCTTTCGCTTTTGATCAGAACAAGGCAATGCATCAAAATATATTAGGTAGGAAAATTCAAATTATAATCAGACAAAAGAGAAGCCTTAAGCTCAGGAGGGGGGGAAGCCTAACCAATCCAAAGGGAGCGAACTGGTTAGCTTAGCAACTGTCATCCAATGAGTAGCTTTATTACAGGCCTTAGATTTGTGAAAAAAGTGAAAAGTTGTGTAACTTAACTAAATATTTAATATCATCCATAATAATTTTAACTTTCCATGGGAAAACATCTTCGATAGAGTTGAGAGTAAGAGGCCATCAGCTAACATGCAAGCTTGGCGCACTGCCTCTGCTTCAGCGGACAAAGGTGACGGTGCAGGGAAAGACCTAGCAACACCAGCCATCAAAGCACCATCCTCCTTTCTCTTTACCTCCACAAATTTTCTCTTCAACCACACTATTACTCCCCCCCCCCCCCCCCAAAAAAAAAAAAAAAAAAAAAAAAAAAAAAAAAACCATGATTACTATTTGTCTTTATGCAAAGAGAATAATACTAGATTAAGAGTGAGATAATAGAACACTAATTACATATTGACAAAAAAATCATTAATTTAATCTAGTTATTTATGTTTTTATTTATTTGGTGGATAAAATAGTAAAATATAACATAATACGACACTATATTACAATATTATCTAATCAGTGGTATTAAAATCAACTCAATAAAATGGGTAGAGCGTATTTGTATACGTATATAAAATAAGCCTAGATATAATACAAAGTTTTTTAACAACCAAATTAAACATAATATAAGATTGGATTAAAGAGTTTTAATTTGTTATGACTACTTAATCCATTGCTTAATACTGCAGCCAAACGCACTTACCTATTGATCAAATCATTTACCCAACATTTCAAACATTTGCTTAGAACTTTCTTCCCAACCACAAAAATTTCTTGCTCTCCTCTTGACCTTTTTGTGAATGATATTCTCATTTTCTTTTTGTATACTTCTGCTCACTTGGATGGAATATCGGAGTTCATGCATTGAGTTTCAGCAGTGAAAGTTCAAATTAAAAGCTTTGACCTTTGTATTGTATGGATGGCCTTGACAGTTAAGTGCCTTGTTTTACATGCAAACTAGCAAAACCAAATCACCAGGACATACTTATGGGAGTATTCTTTATCTTGTAAAAACTTTATCTTCTTAAGTTTAAGAGTTCAACTCGCCCTCCCTCTTTCCCTTCCCCCTAAAAAAAAAATAAAATTCCAAGGACATGCAAAATAAAAGTATCAACTTGCTAATATTGCACCATTTTTACATTACACCTTCAATGTATTAAAAATGTTGTAAATAATCTTTGAATGTATAAGATAACTTTTTTTAAAAAAATTTTGGGGTGCAAATTATAATTCACCTTAAAATAATACTTGTTAAGTAAATTTTTGAGGTCCAAGTTTAAAATAAACCTCGAATCAAAAGTTGAGGAGAGTTTGAAGAACCGAATTTTAAAATTTTGGTGGATGAATGACGGATGAAGTAGGAAAACATCCACATAGAAAATAGGTTGTAAATTCAGTGTATTTTATGGGTGGAAATCTAGTTATGATTAATTTATATTTATTTGTTTATTATTTTTTAATGATAATATCTCCTTTTTTTTTTTTTTTTTATCAAACTACAACCACTCACTCTAGAGAGTGAGGGCCATAGACAACATATAAACACACACACCCTATGGTTCTCTTGTTGGAGTGGCTCTATGGTCAAGTTTAGCTTCTTTGTAAATAAGAAATTTCGGGTTAAATATATATATATATTTTTTATCGCTAAACGTCAGCCCCTCCATCATGCACCTAAAGAGTGACTTAAATCGATGCCAAGTCTAAAAACTTGTAAAAAAAAATAAAAAATATATCATTGGCCTGCCGGTGCTCTTTAAATACCAACACCATCTATCGTTACTTTCCAACTCTCTTCACTCTCACAGCTACCAAGCGCACAGACAACAAACCCCTAAACCCAAAAATGGCCGAAACCCCAATTCGGTTCGGAATCCTTGGCTGCGCCGAAATTGCTCGGAAAGTTTCACGGGCCATAAAGCTTTCAACCAACGCCACTCTCTACGCCGTCGGCAGCCGTTCGATCGAAAAGGCCTCCAGATTCGCGTCCGCAAATGGGTTTCCTCCGTCGGCGAAAATCTACGGGAGCTACGAAGCCGTTTTGGATGATCCCGACGTCGACGCCGTTTACGTTCCTCTTCCGACGAGCCTGCGCGTTCGCTGGATCGTTTTGGCTGCTCAGAAGAAGAAGCACGTGCTGTCGGAGAAGCCGGTAGCGCTGAACGTGAAGGAATTGGACGTGATTCTCGAGGCGTGTGAATCCAATGGTGTGCAATTCATGGATGGTACCATGTGGATGCATCATCCTCGGGCGGCTAAGATGAGGGAATTCCTCTCCGATCCCGGCCGGTTCGGTGTTCTGAAATCGGTACTTCTATCAAGAACTGCTCTGTGCAATTATATTCAATCGATATATTATCATTTGACAATCCAGTTCTGATTTGTCTGTCCTGAGTTTGGGAATTACATAGAAGGATGGGGGGCATACCCTAAAGTTTTTGCCCCTCTTTGGTCAATTTTTAAGCTATTAATTTGGTTCCTTGAAGCAGAGATTTTTCAAGATAAAGGGTGTACCAGGATACGAGGCTCTCACAATTTGGGGTCTGGGGAGTGGGAGTGGGAGTGTTAGATGTACGCTAACTAAAAATTACATATGATGTCATGTTCCACGCCTAGTTCGCCCCCCTAGTTTTAAATATGTGGTTTGGCCTCTGATGGTCTGATTACAGTTTGTGAGACCTTCCTATTCGAGCTGTTGGATGGGGGAATGTGTTGTTTGGGCAATAACTTGAAAACATAAATATACATTGTTAAAGCCTCGTTTTGCTACATAAACTCTCTTTCAGTTAGTGTGAGAACTTTGCTTTTTGTCCGAAAGTGATATATTTTGATTCTTTCAGGTACATAGCTGCTTTACATTTGCTGCTGATCCTGATTTTCTCGAGAATGATATTCGTGTGAAGCCGGATCTTGATGCTCTTGGTGCTCTTGGTGATGTTGGGTGGTACTGCATCAGGGCAATCCTTTGGGCTGCTGATTTTGAACTTCCCAAATCAGTAATTGCTTTGCACGGGTCTGTTTTCAACAAAGCAGGGGTGATTGTGTCGTGTGGTGCCTCGTTATGTTGGGAAGACGGGAAAGTAGCAACCTTCCACTGCTCTTTCCTGGCCAACTTGACCATGAATGTAACTTTTGTTGGAACAAAGGGCACTTTGCATCTTAATGACTTTGTTGTCCCTTTTGAAGAAAACAAGGCTTCATTCACTGCAGGTACAGAATCTTGGTTTACAGAACTTGTGACAGGGTGGTTAGCAAAGCCAAGTGAGCACACCGTCGTGACAGATCTTCCCCAGGAAGCCCTTATGCTGAAAGAGTTTTCTAGGTTGGTTGGGAGCATTAAAAACAATGGTTTAAAACCAGAGAAGAAGTGGCCAACCCTCAGCCGAAAGACACAGCTGGTGTTGGATGCAGTAAAAGCGTCCATTGACGGAGGTTTGGTGGCTGTCGAGGTTGTGAGTTAATTTAGAATTTTCACGTTCCACAAGGTATTTTGAACTGGAGTGCTTCTTGTTGTATGTAAATTAAGGCCTGCTATTGTCTGTTCATGTATCTGGCTTGCTGGTCTGGCTTGGGGTAATTTCGGGCTTGATTCTAAATTTGATTAATAAAGTGCTATGTAGAAACACCTACTGTAACCTTTATGATATGGAAATAAAGCACCAAAGCGCTATTTAGATTGTGTACTTTCTGCTGCAAATTTGATCAGGAAACCTTTTTTTGCATTTGGGACTTCATTACTAGTCAAAATTGTTTATGTTTACTGACAGTAGAGATCTAGAAATACGGGGATTCTGGAAAGCTAATTCTGCAAAGCTCGAGTTATAGTTGATTAAGCCTGAACACCTAAAATGACCCTGGGATAAAGACACACTGAAAACATAATTGGTCATTACAAGGCCTTCATATTTCCCTTTCAGGTATAACGATAAGTTCTCATTCGGAAATGCATGACATGTGTGATGTGTAGTGAGATCTTGAGGCCCCTAGAAAGTGTGGAATTGCAGGTTACATTTCAGTCCCTATTGCCGTGCGCGTTGCTGGTTACATTGATGTTTGTTGCGGGTTGATTTATATTTTATGGAATTTTTTTTTTGTTTGAACTTGAGTTGTAGCTCTCTTGTCTTCTCATGTGGTAGCACCTATTGTGTAATAATCTGCCATGGACAATCTCAAGCTTTTATCGTGAACTTGTTGAAGAAATTTACATCTTCATCAAAACCATTTATCAAGTGAGATTTTATACGTCTTGCTGCCTGTTGATACTTGATATTAATATTGTTAAATTCGTTTCGCAATTGGGTTGCTTTTCCTGATGATTTTTTTTCTTCCATATTTCTTGGTAATTATGTGTGTAGGAACACAGCAGTTGTGGAAAACCTTGCACTACTTTCAAGTTTTAGTGTTATCCATCTAGTATCGATTTTCTCACATTACTCTCTAACCTATACCAATTTTACCGTTAGATAATAGATGAAAAATAGTAGCATGTTTTTTTTTTATTTTTTTGTTAGACACTGTTATATCAGAAGTGGATAACGAGTTTTGAATCCACGAATTTAAGGTTCAAAAGTGAGAGTCTTCTATGGTTGTTTGCTAATATCGTCACTCGTCGTCGTCGTCACTCTACAAGTATTCAACAATAGAAATCAAAACCTAATCTTATTTGTATTGGACACTCCATAACTGTCCCGCTAGTAGACAATCAGCTTCAAATAAATGAGGGGGGTTATTTCTATCTCTTAAATCTCATTTTTCATCCTATTTAGTAATCTGAGTTTAAATTATTAAGTTTATCTCATTTATACCCACTCTATTATTTACTAAATTTATCCTATTTATATTCATTAATTAAAAATTAAATTTATTCAATTTTATTTTAACCTATTATATAGACAATGATCAAAATTTTGTTTTGGTGTATTATTGAGGTAAGAAAATATTTCAAAAGTAGAATAAAAATTAATAATTATTTTTAAAATATTAGTCAAAATATTTTAAAACACTTCAAAATATTCTAAAGAAATTGATGAAAATATATCAAAACACCTCAAAATAAGATAGATACCTCGCAACATTGAAAATTTGTTTCAATTATTATTTTTGTTTTGATTTCTTTGACATATATTTTATTTACCAAATTAATAGGTATCATTGAATCAATAAGTCTCATTTTCTTTTTATAATAATATTAACTACAATTCAATATTTTACTTGTCCTGAACATATAGTAAAATTTAATACACCACATGATTGATAGAAGGCAGAAGTGTGTCATGACCTAACAATTTTAAATATCAGCTGCACTGAAAATCAGTTTTCGTCAATTTTCTACAGGTACACAGCATTTTCCTTTGTCTTGAATTTCTTAAGAATGACATTCGGGTTATACCCGATCTCGATTCTCTCCGAGCTTTGAGAGATGCTTGGTGGTATTGCATGGCACCTGAGTAATCTTATGGGCTAATCAATATCGAGGGCGAATTGCATTTAGTGAAAGGAGTCTTCGAAAGTTCTAAGTGAAAATTTTTCTAATTTTTTTTTCTCGTATGAGGCTCCTTCTTCTGTCCCCTGTCCCCTGTCCCCTGTCCCATTTCACCTCAGGTTGATGAGTTTTTCGAGTACAAGCCTGATTCTTGCTGCATTAGTGAATTGGTGGGTTGATACTAGTCAAAATAGGATGCATTTTAAAAATAGAGTTAACAATTCTGCCTGATCTCTTTGTCGGGCCGAGTTTTGAAATTATGCAAATTATAGATAAGTTAAACTGGTGTCAACTTAGTTGAGATGTATATATTTTATTAGATGTTTTTTAATCAAAAATAATAAAAATAATAATAATAATAATTTTTTTATTCATTTTGATTCTACTTTTAATTTAAAAATACAATTTACATAAATATTAAGTTACAAAAATATTTATTATTTTTAAATAAAATTATTTATAAAAAAACATGTGAGCAGACTTGTCCAGTAAGCCTACCCAATAAACTCACGGATTAAGTTGCGGGTAGCCTACCCCTACTCGAAATTCGCCCAATAATTCACTTGGGTAAAGCTTTAGGCCTACACTATCCAAGTTCGACTGACTATCAATTTTTTTAGTAAAATTTACTCATAATATGTATTTAAATTATATTTTTAAGATTTCATTTGTATTATCTAATAGTTTTCTTATTTTCTAGTGCAACACTACATTTGGGCGAAGACAAAGTCTTCCACTACAAAACAAAAAAATAAATAAAATAGTTCTAGTTTTAATAGAACTACAGTGTCAAAAAATTAAGGATTAATTATAATTTGCCTTTTCCAATTATGTCCCTTGTTGCAATAAGTTTTTTATTGTTTTAAATATTACAATATTAGGGGTAACTCGTAGCTTGAAGCTACAGTATAACATAAATTAATGTGTATAATTTTGAGAGAGATTTTGATGACCGTTGAATAAATATATTTGATATTATCAAATTGACATATTGAAACTCATCCTGCTTTATATTATAAATGTTCCCTCCAACTTTCAAATGAGCTAAGCATGAAACTATTATTGCACTTTCCATCTTGTACACAATTTTACCATCTTGGACTTGGATATTGAGGGTATTTCATCGTTATTCATAGTAAAATTTGATATATTTTACTACTATTTATGATAATAAAAATATATCTAATTTCACTGTCTTGGACAATGACTTTGACAATGCAATGAATTATTTCATATGAGGGAGTCCATCGTAATATTACTTTTATTTTATAATAATTTTTGTCAATATATAGTACCCTCCACTATTGAGTCCACTAACCAACACTGTCTTCACTCTTTCTGTAAAAATCCCCCATCCCAGCTGAAGACATAACCAGAGGCTATGCTATGGCCGAAACCAAGGTCCGTTTCGGAATCTTAGGCTGCGCTAACATTGCTCGGAAAGTATCAAGGGCCATGAAACTCGCCCCCAACTGCGCCATAACCGCCATCGGAAGCCGTTCGATCGAAAAGGCCTCCCAATTCGCGGCGGAGAACGAATTTCCGGCGTCGGCAAAAGTCTACGGCAGCTACGACGCCGTATTGGACGACCCCGACGTGGAGGCCGTTTATATTCCGCTTCCGACGAGCCTTCACCTCCGGTGGGCTGTCCTGGCAGCCGAGAAGAAGAAGCACGTGTTGTTGGAGAAGCCGGTGGCTCTGAACGTGAAGGAATTGGATACTATTCTGGAGGCGTGTGAATCCAATGGTGTGCAGTACATGGACGCTACCATGTGGATGCATCATCCACGGACAGCTAAGATGAGAGAATTCCTCTCTGATCCGCAGCGTTTTGGCCAACTCAAATCGGTACTTGCCTGAAGTTTTATTTGATTTTCTCAGATTTTTAATCTCCGTCTTCTAATTTTTTTCCTATAGAAAATTTGTAATTGGGGATCACTTTATCTTATTTGTTTTATTATATTACTAGCGATACCCTGTATGTATACTACACTATGATACTATGGGAGTATGTGTACAACTGGATTGTGTATATAATTAGTGTTTGTATATATAATGATTGTGAAATTTGTGGGGAATGTGTGAAATTTGGGAAGAAAATATACCCATAAATTCCAAAACATAGCTATCTTATATTAGGAATTGTGACTGTGATGCCTTGGAAATAAACACCTGAATTGAAGTTCAATTTGGGCGTTAGGAAATCTACTACTACATATTCTGGTTTTTCTAAATTCCTCTTTCACAGTACAAAATAAGGCAGGCATGAAGGATCATGTGAAGGAATGTTAGGGTAATATTAGAAATAATAATGATATATCTTGGAATTATACAAAATAAGAGTCAGCAAAATTTATCTGTTCAAAGAATACCCTCTCAAAACTGGAGGATGTGACCTAGGTGCTCAAGCTAAGAAGCTTAAGGGTATGGAATAGTGATTGTGGTGAGAACAGTGTGAGCAATCAGGTAAGAGCTAGAACATAAGGAAGAACACCTAGATTGCAGTGTTTCACTGGTCAGAAGAGTTTGATTAGTCCACTCTAATGAAGTTTCTTCCAACTTGGAGGCTTTTCTATTGCCCGGAGAAAAAGATAGAGATTACTTGTTTTTGGATTGCAATTGGTGCGTTTGTGTGTGATTGCCTCATATATTTATGCCCATAGGTGTGGTGGTCCTCACGTCATCATTGCATAGTCCCTTAATTTGTTAGGATTTTGTTAGGTGTGATGTGTGTTTTTAAAACATGATGAGGTGGGATCGATACCCTTCTCCAAGCTTTACATATGTTGTGATCCTTTGCACCAATGAGAGGTTATTCTTTTGGGGTGACCCATTCTTGTTTTTTTGGTCAGCTCATGAATAAAAGAGTTCGATCTATGCTCTTGGCTTGAGCTAGAAATACTGAACTTTCCCGTGAGATGATATAAACGACTTGGTCATTCTTGCTTGAAGTCGTACTTGGACATTGCTAGGTATGCAATTAGAGGTACCAATAAGCCATTGGTCCAATGGTATTTTTTATTTTGTGAAGGTTTTGTCTTCTTTAGGTTAAGGGTTCAGCCCCCTTTCTCCTTTCCCCCTCCCAAAAAATAAAAATAAAAATTAGAGGTCGGGGGTTACACTTCATTATTGAGCCTTGCAGTAAACGAGATATGAAAATATTCTTCAACTTATTTCTGGTATTAATTTTGGTATCATCAATCGTCAAGAGTGGTTCTAAGACAGGGTGGGGGGATGATCATGTTCTGAGGGCGAGGACTGAGAATAGACTTTTCAATTCGTTTGCTGGAGCATGTTCACTTTTGTTTCTATCCTTATATGCGGTGATTAGAAATGATTTTACAAGGTAATTCTAAGAACTATTATTGCCTTAATCATATGCAACATACTAAGATTTCAAGCCTAAGCAACACAAAAATGAAATCTGAATTCATAGATTGGTTAAAAGAATAGGTCACTCATAGAATGTACAACATTTTGTTGGGGTTTGCTATATATGTTGTGAAGATGATTTTTGGCTAATTTTTTACTACAGGTACACAGCATTTTTAGTTATGTTGGTGGTCCTGAATTTCTCAAGGATGACATTCGCATTAAACCTGATCTTGATGCTCTTGGAGCTTTGGGTGATACTGGGTGGTATTGCACCAGGGCAATCTTATGGGCTAATGAATATGAACTGCCTAAAACAGTAACAGCTTTGCCTGAGCCTGAATACAATGAAGCAGGTGTGATTCTATCTTGCGGTGCTCTATTACGCTGGACAGATGGGAAAACAGCAACCTTCTATTGCTCTTTCCTAACTAATTTGACCATGGACATAACAGCTCTTGGAACAAATGGATATCTGTGTGTTCATGACTTTGTTATTCCTTTTCAAGAGAATGGTGCACCGTTTTATGAAGCCTCAAACTCAAGGTTTGCAAATCTGGCTATAGGGATTGAACCTGTACCAAGTGAGCACGCAATTGATACAGATCTTCCTCAGGAAGCCCTCATGGTGCAGGTGTTTGCTAATTTGGTTGCTGGTATTAACGAAAAAGGTGCATCGCCTGAGAAGAAATGGCCTACCATTAGTAGAAAGACACAACTGGTGATAGATGCTGTCATGGCGTCAATTGAGAAGGATTTTGAGCCTGTTGAAGTGGTGCCTTGAATCATATGTCTAATGCTTGGCATCTTTGTTTGAATTGTAATGGTGTTTATTACATGTTTGCCTTCGATTAATAGCACTTTACTGTGTGCCTTTTTATACGGGGCTTTTATTTATATATGAATAAGGGTCTGGATTCTCTCTGGTGTAAAATTTCTGTCATGTTTTCTGGTGTCTATATGTATGTGAAGTTATATATATATAGATAGTTGGTGCACATGTGCATATGTTTATTTATTTTGACATCAAAGACAGACTAAATTCATTCAAAATCTGAGAAGAAATAAAAATAATGTTACAGTACTAAGAAGGCTTTCTCAACAAAAAGTATAACTACTCATCAACAGCTAGTGAGTAAATCAATCAGCAAGAGATACTGACATTTTTATCTATCTTAGTTTTAATCTATTCCATTTAAAAAAAAAATTTAAAACCGTTCCATCCACATTGCATGCTACCAATGGAGAAAATTTCTCATTCTTTTTCTAGTGAGAAAAAAGTCAAAATTAAGAAGAATGAAGAAATTATGTTACTCATAACACAATGATGCATTGAAATAGAAACTCATAATAGCAACTCTCAGTCCATGTCTCTAACCATTAAACTACCAATTACTACTCATTCAATTTCCCTTGATCATTAACCAAACCAAAATTAAATAGGAACTACTGAACAATAGTTGAATATAACTGCCAAAAATTTTGAAGGAAGATCGAGCAATGAAATCCTTTGCATCAATTATAGATTTGTAGATGTCCGTATCAACCATAACTTCGTAAAAATAAAAAACAATCTCTCCATAAAAATTTTCTAGATAAAATAAAAGTATTAAAATTATAAAATTGATACGCAGTTCTTATTTTAAATTCATTTATCTCTGATGTCCATTTCATCTCTATCTATGTTTTTTTGTACAACAAAAGAAAATAGTAGAATAGCCAGATATAATTGCACACACATGCACACATAACACACACACACACACACATATTTGAAGTACCATTAAAAATACCATAGAACCCATAAAAATGACAAATGGAAAAAGGACAAAAATACCATAAAATAGCAAAGTAACATGTTTAAGCAAACTTTTCATTCCATTCTTGCTCATATCTGTTCCGTTACATAATGAACCAATTGTACATGCTGACATACCTGAGTAACAACTCAATAGATAGCCTCCATTTCAAATGAAATCTATTAAGAAGCTTTGAATGTATCAATTCCTTCTGCATTATTTGTGGCAAGTGTTCATACCAAGGGCATTGTTTCCTCATAAAATGAAATAAACTCCTTGGAATTGTTTAATTCCTAATATGAGAACTATAATAAAAATTAATTCAAGTTTTCAGAAAAGGAAACATCAATCCAAACAGAAATTGTTTCAAACATCCAACAAAAAATTGAATTAGACAGCTTTTAGTCTGAACCTTCTCCTAAATTTAGTCTGAATCTACAGAAGAAAGAGAAACAGGAAATGAAGGAACGTGATGAGAAGTTGTAGTAAAAAAGTCGATCTCGTCATCAAGTCTATTCTGTTTTGTTTTTTTTTTTTTTTTTTTTCAATTTTTCTAAAGAGGAGGTTGTTGCTGGGCACCATCTATTCATACTTATTAACCTGATCCGAAAGGACTGATCCCAAAGTCGTGAAAAGGAATATGGTTTTAGGTAGACAAATCAATGAAATGCATATGATTAAACCACACAGAGATGGCTTCTTAAATTTATAAGGTCTGATTTGTGTCTAGTTAAGTCATTGTGAGCGCATGAGGAAAATAGATGAGGGCATTTTTTTTTCCTGGGAAGAAAACAAGACTGATGCAGGAAAAAATAGAGATTTCAGCACCTTAGTAAGGTGTTGAAGTAAGGGCTTGAGTAGTAATAGATAAGAAACAAAGAGTAGTTAATGTAGAAGGGATTTGAGACAGAAAATTAAGGTTATAGGGTTGGTTTCAATGGTTTAAAATATGATTTTAAAGCAAGATAAACTTCCAGTATGAGATATGGAAGAATAAGGATAATAACAGAAAAGGGTTAGCCAGAACTAAAAGAGTAAAGGACTCGGTGAAGAATAAGTGAAAGGGGAGAGAAAGAAGGGAGGAGGCAGACAACATAATACTATTCATATTACTGAACAGCACCATGTGAGAATAGAGAAAACATATGCTTAATTCACAAAAGAAGTACATCTATTGAACTAAACAATTCACAAGTAAATTACAAATTAATGATATTGGTAAACAAACATGAGGCAGGTTTTCTTTTATGCACAAAAAAACCTATTTTACAATTTGAGATGGTTTAATATTTTTTTATGGTTTTGCAGATATCAATGGCATAAAACAAGCAAATTTGTAGCTCAAAAATTAAAATTTATGATAAATATTCAAGATTATTTTACCAATGTTAGGAGTTCCCTTGTCTCTCAATCCGTCAGACACCCATTTGAACATATTCTTTTATGATAAATCTACTACTACATATTCTTGGTTTTTCTAAATTCCTCTTTCACAATACAAAAGAAAGCAGGCAGGAAGGATCATGTGAAGGGATGTTAGTGTAATATTAGAAATAATAATGATATATCTTGGAATTATACAAAATAAGAGTGAGCAAAATTTATCTGTTCAAAGAATACCCTCTCAAAACTAGAGGATGTTGATGATGATGTTAAAAACTCAAACGCACTCTTGTTCTTTAAGGATGTGATCCTTTGCGTCAATAAGAGGTTATTCTTTTGGGGCGATCCACTCTTGTTCTTTTGGTCAGCTCGTGAATAAAAAAGCTCGATCTAAGGTCTTGACTTGAGCTAGAAATACTGTACTTTCCCGTGAGATGATATGAACGACCTGGTCATCCTTGCTTGTAAGTCGTACTTGGTCAACTTGGACATTGCTGCCTATGTTTGGGTACGCAATTAGAGGTCGGGCGTTAGACTTTGTTACTGAGCCTTGCTGTAAATGAGATACGAAAATATTCTTCTACTTCTTTCTAGTATTAGTTTTGGTATCATCAATTGTCAAGAGTGATTCTAAGACAGCGTGAGGGGATGATCATGTTCTGAGGGTGAGGACCGAGGATAAACTTTTCAATTCGTTTGCTAGAACATGTCCACTTTTGTTTATGTCTTTATTTGCAGTGATTAGAAATGATTTAACAAGGTAATTCTAAGAACTATTATTGCTTTAATCATATGCAACAGGCTAAGATTTCAAGCCTAAGCAACACAAAAATGAAATCTAAATTCATAGATTGGTTAAAAGAATAGGTCACTCACATCTTCCATGTCTTCTTTTCCTCTGTCAGGTAAATACACAATATAATGTTCAACATTTTGTTGGGGTTTTCTATATATGCTGTGAAGATGATTTTTCTCAAAATATACGATGTCAAAAAAAATATTAACAAGTGTAAAGTTATTGTATATGAACATTGTTTAGAATAAAAATTATATTTAGCTACAAATTAATCAAAAATTAAATGATACATAATCTGTCAAGAAAGAAATTAAAGAGAATTTTACTGAATGTCAACAAATTAGATCAATAACATAAATATATTATATCATTAAATTAAGTGTTCAAGTTAGGTATTAGTAACATTATTCAAAAAGCAATAAATATTTTTTTCTCCATAAAACATGGGCTCTCCAACCGTTTGTCCTAGCAAATTGATTATGGTTGTGAGTAGAATTGTCAATTTTATTGATTAGATACAACATAAACACGATATAAAATGATATAACTTAAACGATAAAATATTTAATAGGTTGGATCAAAATTACATGCAATATATATTTTTTCCATTACTTTATTTATTTTTTAATAAAATTAAATGAAATAATTTCTTATTTACAAAAATATTGATACATTAACAACATAAATAAAAATAAAATGACTCAAATAAAGGTATAAAAATGATAGGACACGACCCCATTAATGCAACATATTAGAAGTTCTATTATGAGAGGTGGGAGCAAGAGCAGAGTATTTTTTTAGTATGGAGTTGAAAAAAAAATATTGATTATTGATTTTGAATGATTTATAATTATTAAATACAAAAATAAAAAAATAAAAAAATAAAAAAATGCACACATTCGAGTTCATCGGATGCTGTCCACACAAAACACATTATTGGAATTGGGATGACTAACACCCTGACGTCAGCACCAGTCAAGATAGCGCAGCCGCCTGTGATATACTCAAATGTGTGGTCATAAATGTTTTTGGTATTTAATATTACTCAAATGTGTGGCTACAAATTTTTTGTCATTAAGTATTATTTTCTTCGTTTTTAAATATTTGTTGTTTAATGAAATAAAAAAATAATTAATATTTTTTCTATTAAATTTATTTTTAATTTTTTAATGCATTAGATTAGATGAAAGTTAAGTGCCTTTCATATTCTTTTCTTTCCCAATACGTATTAAATAAGAGTATTTTAGTCTTGTGTAATTATTTTTTACTCATATTAGAGCTATATAATAGCTTCTTAAATTCCTGTGCAAAAACCTTAAACGACAGATATTTAGGAATAGATGAAGTACTTCTTAAAGGTGATAACTTTACTAATAACATTATATTAAAAGATTGTAACTTATCTCGAATACTTGTAACATCAACTGTTATTTTTTGTGGTATTTTTACCTTTATTACTTATAACCTAATTTTAAATACTTGTAACTTAATCTTAAATGTAGTCATAAATAGTTATAATATCATCACTTTCAGAGATAGTAATTTTACTTTTAATTGTGATAATCTTACCTAACATTTAATTGTTGTAACCTAACATTTAAGACTTATAACTTCACTTTCAAAGATAATAATTTTACTTTTAATTATTATAACCTTATCCAACTTTTAATACCTAACATTTAATTGTTATAATCTAACTTTTAAGAGTTTGTACCTCACATTTAAAGTTCAAAATTATAAATTTAAAATTCATAAAAGTAATATTAATTTAAAATTCATACAATTAAAATTCATAAAATTAACATTAAATTAAAATTCATAAAATTATCATTAAATTAAGACTCATAAAATGTAACCTTACTTTTAATGTCCATTTATACATTAAATATTAAGATCTATCGTACATAATTTCAATCGAACATATATTTGAGACATATCGCAAATAATTAAGATCGACCATACAATTCACTATTTTCCTCTCCTTAATGCCAATGTATATCATTTTAGGATCGATCATTATTATATATGATCGACCCCAATTTCTCCATTCCCCCCATAGGCAAGACGCTCCACCCCAGTAAGGTTATAATATAAAAAAAAATAAAAAATTAATTTGATCGATCATGTTATTGTATGATCGATCTTAATTATCCTTTTTTATAACCTCACCCCTAAAGGTTATTACTTTCCCAATGACAAGAGTAAGTTTACCTCGATGCATTCTAACGGTACTAACCTAACCTCAACATCAACATGTACTAACCTATCATCATACACTGCCTTTACATCAACTTGTTGTAACTTTACTACATAATGTTTTAACCTCACCTCTAAATATTACAACATTACCTCTTTAAATAGTAACTTGACAACAAATTTATTATAACTTCACCCATAACGATTATATATTTGTCACATACAGGAGTAATTTTACCGTTATGCATTGTAAGTGTTCTTTTTTAGTCAATAAACTTACATTTTTTTCAATTGGTAATTTTACCTCAATAGGTGATAATCTTATTATAAACATTATACTCCTACCTATAAACGTAGTAACCTTATCTCTTCATGTTATACCCTCACCCTTTAAAGGTTACCTCTTTGTCACTGACAAACATAATTTAACCTTTATGCATTGTAACTTTTCCTCAATATTGGATAAAATTACTTTTCAATTGATAACTTAGTCTAGTTAGGTGATAACCTTATTTTTAATATTGTCATATTCCTTATAGAAATTGTAACCTTACATCAACAAGTAATAACCTTTCATCAAAATGTTATAATATCATCCATAACGATTACATCTTTGCCACCGATTGGAGTAATTCCACCATTATTTGTAACAACTTTCCCTATATTACTGGTAACTTTACTAATTGATGGATAACTTATCTCACATCGCCTATAAACCTACTAACAAAGCTTGTAATCTTTCCTACAAAATTGTAACATTACTTTTAATGTCCATTATATTAAATCTTAAGGGAAAAAAAAATTTAAATCTTAAGATCGATCTTACTTAATGTTGATAGAACACATACCTAAGATCGATCGTAAATAATTAAGATCGATCATATTTTTCATTATTTTGATCTCAAGAATTCAATGTATATAACATTAGGATCGATCTTTATTGTGTATGATCGATCTCACTTCCTTATTTACCCCATAGGTAAGACGCTCTCCCCAGTAAGATTGTAACATAAGTACAAATAAAAAAAAATTAGATCGATCATGTAAATGTACGATTGATTTTAATTATCCTTTTATTCACCAGCTGAGCAAGTTATAGGTTTACATCCAAAAAAAAAACAAAGAAAATTAAATCAACAGATCAATGGTTGTACACTAATGAGCAGAACATGAATTTTAATTTAATGTTAATTTTATGAAATTTAATTTAATGTTAATTTTAATGAATTTTAATTTAATGTTAATTTTAATGAATTTTAATTTAATGTTAACTTTAATGAATTTTAATTTAATGAATTTTAATTTAATGTTAATTTAATGAATTTTAATTTAATGTTAATTTAATGAATTTTAATTTAATTTTAATTTTATGAATTTTAGTTTAATGTTAATTTTATGAATTTTAATTTAATTTTAATTTTATGAATTTTAATTTAATGCTAATTTAATGAATTTTAATTTAATTTTATGAATTTTAATTTAATGTTATTTTTATGAATTTTAAATTTATAATTTTGAACTTTAAATGTGAGGTACAAACTCTTAAAAGTTAGGTTAAAACAATTAAATGTTAGGTATTAAAGGTTAAGAAATGTTACAATAATTAAAAGTAAAATTATTATCTTTGAAAATGAGGTTATAATTCTTAAAAGTTAAGTTACAACAATTAAACGTTAGGTAATGTTACCATAACTAAAAGTAAAATTACTATCTATAAAAGTGATGTTATAACTATTTGTAGTAAAATTACTACATTTAAGGTTAGGTTACAAATATTTAGAGTTAGGTTACAAGTAATTACCATAAAAAAACCGCAGCTGAAGTTACAAGTATTTGAGTTGAGTTACAACTCTTTAAGGTAATGTTATTATATTTATTTGCAAATTTATCACCTTTAAAAAGTAATATTTAATAACAAAAATTTTACAATCACATATTTGAGTAATATTAAATGCCAAAAAATTTATGGCCACACCTTATTTTTGGTTAAGTACCGCTATTTGATCGGGCGGTGTATATGTATATAGACATGGTGTACCAGTACCTATAACTCTAAGCTCAAAAACACAACCTAATAAAGGATATATACATACTAACGATACCCTGTGACTGAAATCACTGAATATTAAATTATAAAATTATGCATGGAGTGTGTGTACAACTAAAATATATATATAATGTGCATGTGTGTATAGTGAATGAGAATTGGAGTATGTGTAGTTATGTGTGGTAGAATATTTGTATTAAATTTGTGAAACTTGAAAAGGAAAGTGTGTGAAATTTGGAAAGAGAAAATATACCTCGTAAGTTCAAATACCTGATTATCTTATTATAGATGGGTGGAATCTTAGAATCTTGGGCTGTGCTACCATAGCCCGGAAAGTATCACGGGCCATGAAACTCGCCCCGAACTGCAATATAAGCGCCATCGGAAGCCGTTCCATCGAAAATGCCTCAAAATTTGCAACGGAAAACGGTTTTCCGGCAACGGCTAAAGTCTACGGTAGCTACGACGCCGTTTTGAATGACCCCGACGTTGACGCAGTTTATATCCCCCTTCCGACGAGCCTTCACCTACGGTGGGTCGTCTTGGCCGCCAAGAAGAAGAAGCACGTGTTGTTGGAGAAGCCGGTGGCTCTAAATGTGAAGGAACTCGACGCTATTTTGAAAGCTTGTGAATCCAATGGTGTGCAGTACATGGACGCCACCATGTGGATGCATCATCCACGAACGGCTAAGATGAGAGAGTTTCTCTCTGATCCGCAGCGTTTTGGCCAGCTCAAATCGGTAATATGGTCGAGGGCTTATTTTTTTTCTTTGATTTTCGATTTTGTCATTTGATAATTCCGTCGAAAATAATACTTGAGAATTTTTTTTTTTTAATTCAAAGGTTAGGATTGTTGGGCCTAGTACTTCGATTAATTATTTTTCGATCCGATCAAAAACAGATTATTTATATAGGACTAGTGTCCTTACGAGAGATAAATTCTTTACGGTCTCATCTCAATTTTATGCCCCTCTTATCACTTAAATTATCCTTAAAATTGTCAATATTTCAAAGATATTGACATCTCAACCTTTTTTTTTGTGTGCATAAAATGGATATGTAAATAGACTACTCTATAAATCAGTTAAGGAGTATTATCTTTAACATCACACAACTATTTATAAGGAATCTTACTACATCTACGTCGGGGCCGAAGTTAAAGTCTCACCGCATGTTCTAGGTGCTGAAGAGTAGATTTAATCCTAACGAATTGCCGTAACTATAAAATCTCCAAATCAAACATTGAGCGAGAAAATTCGAATTCTTACCCACTGTCTTTTTCTCCGACCAAAGAATATTAAAAATAAAACATGACTATAAGGTATCAAAAAAGTGCCATACTAAAAAATATATTATAATCATAAATTTCGTAAAGGTTGATCTTAAAAAAAATAAGATATAAAAATTTTATTATTAAAAAATGGAAGATATCATATTAAGAATATTTTTTTGATATTTTAGTTAGATCATAGTTCTTAGTCGATAGTTGACAATGTGTGGAGATACGAGAGTTTCTAATCATATCATGGGAAAACAACCTTTTTATTTATATAATAGGCTGCATATATTTGATTATTTATAAACAATGCAATAGTGAGAGAATAGTATAATGAGCCGCCCTTTTTTGTATATCTATACAATATTTAATTATTTATGCTCCATGCCTTCTTTCTACTGTATGCTAAGACACTTGTATTTGAAAGTGTCAATATTTCAAAGATATAGATAAGATATCTGAGATTGATCAGCCAGTTAACTTAGTGTTTGGGTTAATTTATGCACATTTCAACTAATTTTCTTTTTGATTCAATCAACGTTCACGTCAGGATTAGAGAATTTATGAGGGATAAATATTTCATTATCTAATCTTAAGGGAATTGCCAAATTTTAGACTCGGAATGTTTGGATTTACGACTCATCCTTGTTTCTATTGAGTTACCCTTTGGGGTTGGGTTTTATTAGGGGTGCATTTGGTTAGAGAATTAATGGGTGAAATTGTATTAAATTAACTAGATGGTCATTTAAAAATAACTATTGTATCATCTTAACAGGCCAGACCATAATAACTTTTGTTAATATTGTATCGACACTGAAGTTCTTCCTAGTTAATATTGTCTAGGATATCGAATTGGCTCATGGTCTCGAATTGTGTTGCTTATGGTATGGTATGTTGATCTAATTAGAGAATCCCAAATAACATGTCTCTTTGGATGGGTCATCTTATCCCCAAAAGACATATCTCTGAATCATTAACAAACAGGTTCCTTATAAGTACATAATATTTAGATTATTTTTAAGTTTAAAATATTATACTTATACCAGAAACACTCTAATTGTAGATGAAATATTAAATATTTCAAATTTTACAATCAAAATTTATGTTCTATTGTATCATTTATTGAAATAAGATTTACTTATAAAAAATTTTTTCATTTAATTATTTAATGTGTATCTAACTAGAAATTATATATATATATATTTTTATTATGTATATGTAATTATTAATTCTTCCATTACATATATAAAAGTGGGCTCAAGGGAAGAGAGTGGTGGGTAAAATAGTTAATTCACAAAAAAGTTCATCTTCCCTCCATTTTCAGTCCATTTTTTGGGAGAAAAAAGTTTGGTGGGCTCAAGGGATTTTCCTTCCATTTTTCATTTCCTCCCATTTTCGCTCCATACCAAATAATAGAAAGATTTTCCTTTTCTCCCACTTTCCTTCCTCCATTTTCCATCCTCCCTATTTTCTCTCCGACCAAACAGGGGTAATGATCCGCATGAAATTAGTAAGATAAATAGGTAAAATAATAAAAATTTCATTCGACCGTCAAAGGAATTTCATGTATATGTGCACCTGTACACCGTTTTTGTGGACAAATTAGGCCCAATCCAGTTCAGAATTCCAAGTGGCCCAGCCTTTTTATTTAGGGCAGCACTTGTGACCCCAAAATTCCCCAATTAACACGTTGCTTTAAATAAGCGGAACAGTGGGCTTTGCAAAATAAATGAGCTGCAGCATTAAGCCCAAATTTGACGATTAATTCAGCCCAGTAATGATCACGAGTGGGCTTTCAAATTTACTGGATTTTAGTTCGAAATGATGTAGGTTGGTTTCAAGATATGAAGCCTGTCTCATTGAAATGCCAAGATTACCATGAGCTATGTTTATGCCAACTTATCTCATTTAAATCATAACCCGATCATGAACGATGACACAACAAAGAATAATAAAAGAGATGCCACTTATATCAACGTTCATGAACCTAATCTATCGGGAAATAAATCCTGAAAAGAAAAAAAATACGGATTTATTGATTGAAAGTGAACTTTGCCTTATTTTAAGGGACTTGCAATTTGAGATATAATTTCAATTTAAGAAAAAAAAAAATCACTCTTCGAAAATCAATGCAATCTATTTGGTGGTAGTACAAAATAAGTGAGAAACTATGAAAGAAATCTTCAAAAAGGAGGCATGTCTGGATCTTTTATCAATACACAATAATTAATTTAGCATTAAAAAAAATAGAGAGAAGATTTAGTAAAAGAGATCCACTCTTGATAACTCAAAGTCTCAAGTTTAATTTACTCTCACATGCCCTAAGAATTAGCCACTCATGTCCTTTTAGGGACATGCTTTAACCCAACTTAAGTCATGGTGACTAGCCGCTGAACTCGAAAGAATAATCGGTGTAAGTTTAGACACCTTGAAATGAAAAAAAAAAAATTGTATTTGTGTACCAATTCTTTCTTGTTTTTCTGTTATACCAATTCTTTCTTGTTTTTCTGCTATACTCACCTGATGTTATTTGTTCTGTGGAATCATTTTGTTTATGTTAATATATACAATGAAAAATTGCTATGATAAATACAATGAATGAATTTATAATAGCAATTTCGACATTTATTCACCAGTTAGTAGAATAACTTCTTTATGGATGTTCATTACTATAGTTGTTTAAAATAGTCTTGAGAAACATCAAATGATGTAAAGACAACATTATTAAATGCTGAATAAGATGGAAAAATATACATTAAATAACCTAAAGGGTTCATTGCTAAAGGACATGAAAGAAAAATGTAAACTTGTTAAATTTTTTTATGGTTTAAAACAAGCATCAAAGTAGTGGTATGAGAAATTTGACAAAGTAGTGTTGTCAAATGGATTTAAAATAAATGAGTGTGACAAATGTGTTTATGTCAAAAATACTCATAATGAATACTTTATTGTATGTCTTTATGTGGATGATATGCTAATTTTAAGCAGCGATAATGATGTTATTAAAGCTATCAAACGGATATTGACAAATAGGTTTGAAATGAAAGACCTAAGTGTTGCTAAAGTTATATTAGTAATTAAAATTTAAAGAATGTCAAATGAATTCACGTTTTCTCAATATTATTATATTGATAAAGTACTTGATAAGTTCAAGAAGTATGAGATAAAACGTATGAGAACACACGTCGATGTTAATATCCATATGTCTAAGAATAATGGTGAAAACTTATCTCAATTAGAATATGCACGTATAATTGATAGTTTAATATAATCTTGAATTGTACTTGTCAAGATATAGCATACTCTGTGAGTAAGTTGAGTCAATATACAAGTAATTCCAAAAAAGACCACTGAAAATCAATAATTAGGGTATTGTTATATTTAAAATATACCCCAACTTATGGTTTGCATTTCACAAAATATCCAGTTGTACTCGAAGGATATACCGATTCTAACTAGATATCTGATACTAAAAATTCAAAATTTATGAGTTAATATGTCTTTACCTTGGGTAGTGCAGTCGTGTCTTGAAAATCCTCAAAATAAACATGCTTTGCTAGATTTACAATGAAATCTGAATTCATTGTTTTAGATAAAGCTGGAGAAGAAATAAAGTAGCTTTGTAACTTCTTAATGGATATTCCAAATTGGTCAAAGCCTGTGCCAGCAATATACATACATTGCTATAGCCAATCTATGATTGGAAGGACACAAAATTATTTGTATAATGGTAAGTCTTGAAATATACGTCATAGCTATAATACCGTTAGACAGTTGCTCTTGAATGATATTATATTCACTAATTATGTGAAGTCAAAGGATAATATCGCAGATCCAATTAAAAAAAGTTTGATTAGAGAGCAAGTAAAAAGTTCATCAAAGGGTAATGAGTTTAAAACCTATTACTTAACCAAGAGTCACCATAATGACAACCCAAGTTAGCGGACTGGATATCCCAAGATTTAAGTTCAAAGCGACAACCAAATTATGTGTAATTTAGAGTGTACTGAAGAGGTTTTTAACTCCTTCACATTCTTATGATGAGACATTACATATTTGTCACGAAAACTAGGGTAAGTTACACTTTTAATGATGTTCTGTGTCTTGGAAAAGTCCAAGTAAGGTACAACAAAATACTCTCAATCATAAATTACCTATGTGAGTAAGAAGGGGCGCTTCTATGAGAATTAGAGGTTGATTACTCTAAATTTCTATGAAACCAAGTGATGTTCATGGTAAAAAATAAGCACAAATGTGAGAATCAACTACATCCGAAGGAAAACTATGTAAATTCTATTGTCTTAATTTACACAAACAAACAGTTGATAGTTCAAAGACATCAAGTCAATGATTAGCCAAGTAAATTTGATAGCCTTTTACATAGGAAAGTTTAAGACCATTAGACTACTTATCCTGATGCAATAACCTTTCAACTGTACTTGAACTAGCGTTTGTATTATCATACATTAAATTTTCATTCATGTGTGAAATTGTTGAAAATAATTGTTTTTAAATAAA